TACATACATACATACATACATACATACATACATACATACATACATACATACATACATACATACATACATACATACATACATACAGTTTTAATGTAAACCAGCGTCTGTACTTTTGATACTGAGTGTTTTTAGCTAGTAAAGCCTGTAACTGTTTCTGTGATATAAATACTGAAATATTGAAATTTAACATGTAATCTGTGTCCATAATAACCAGATCCTGAAAAGTAGATGTGGCTTTCTGGATACAGAGCACAAACATTTACATTTAACTGATTTTGATTAATCGTTTTTAAATTCACAGTTATTATATATATATATGTATACATACATGCATGCATCCATACATACATCTTTGAAACATCTAAACAAAGATTTTTTTTTCAAGGTTCAAAATGTCAGATTTTCTGGTCCTTATTGCGTGTTTTTATTATGACTGAGGTTGTTCTGTTCTGGCAATCTTTTTCAAAGTAGATGTAAAACATTTTTCCAACGAAATTAGTTAAGATATAGGGAACAAGTAACAAAACCAACTAAAAAATTGTGATATTACCACCAGGGATCATTTAAGGACTATTTTATGCTAAACCATCTGTATATCCATGTCAGTCACAGACACACTGAAAGAACCAAATGTAGAACAGAAATAATCAGAATTGATCTGACTTTTTGGCGGAGGAGGGCAGAAACACTCAATGCAAGTGAAACCGCTTCTTTCGGCAGTTTTGAGCTCAGTTTATTAGACACATACAGGATAAATATTCAGGCCTCAGACACACAGGAAGAGACAGAAAGGAGTCACACGCCGGCATCAACAGCTGTTTAAATCCAACACTGTCCATTCTCATTATTTTTCCACTCTTTTCTCACCGTATGGGCTTATTTGATTTCATGATAACATCCCTGAGAAAGAAATGGGACGGCTGATGTGTCCTGATCGAATTCCTCCTTTAAACGTTTCGAAAAATCCACCGACATGAAACAAGTTCTCCATATCTAAGTCAAACCGTCTAAACCACAGAAAGAATAAATCTACCTCACTACACCGTGTTTAACGATATTTTAGACCCGATCACACGACCATAATCCCAGGATATTAAAGTTATTTAGGTATTCCTGATTAAAGACCTAGTTTTCCTAAAGTTTTAAGCAAATCAAAGCAAATTAATTCTGTGCCGACTGTGATCTGAAGTGGAGTAAAAACAGCGTCCTGCTTCCCAGAAATCCGACAGAGCTGCACTTTGAGGTGGTTTTCGATTTTAAAAAAGCACTTTCCCTGATGGGATTTGATATAAATATAGAGCAGCTCCCCTGCTGTTGTGCTAAGTGTGTGAAAGCAGGTGCAGAGAGCCCTGCTGGACCCTGATGCAGAGGTATGCCGCCACTCAGCTCCAAGGCGCTCAGCTCCACGCCGGCCGTGTCGGCCATCCGTCTGGCGGTGCCGGCGTCCAAGGGCTGCGAGGCCGCCGGCTTACACAGCAGCCATTTTGCTGGCCTCTCGGACCCCGCTGAGGTAGGCCCCCGTCACGGTCTGAGGGAAGTTTCGGTTGGTGGCCTGGTGGGAAAAGAAATGACAAATAATGAAAGGTTAAACCTGGTTTAAAACCAGTGGAATCAAACACAGTCACATATTGAGCATTAGCTGGGTTACTGATGCTCAGAGCCTAAACACAGCCAGCTGGACTTCTTCTTCTTGTGAGACTTTTCTCCTCACATCCTGATGCTTCTTGAAGCCTGAATCCTGAAACAGTCAGCGGACTCGGTGAGCTGGTGATCCGTTTCCTGTCCTCACTGAGTTTAAGTGACAATATTCAGCCCGCAGAGTTCATTTTATTTTCTCATTTCTTTTGTCACCAACTGGTTGAGGTAGTTTGGGTTGGGCAGGCAGCTGGACTTCTTGGAGCTAAAAGAAATCTCTGTTCTCATCCTGAAACTTCTTAAGGGGAGGGGTCAGTCGAGGGGTCAGAGATCGTCGATTGTCTGAAAGTCAGTTAATCCTGACCAGAGGAAAAAAGCCCAAAGAAGAAGAGAGCTCTACTCCCTGATTGGCCGGAACAGAAAACAGGAATTCAGCCCCTCTGGCCAGCTTGTTGTACACAGCAAAAACACCAAGTTTCTGTTGCCTTTGGGCTTCAGCTTGAATCCAAATCTACTCCATTTAGTAATCATCTTCCTTCTCTGTGTATTACAGGAGCTGTGACATTTTGGAGTAATTCAAACTTTTGCCAGATGTTGCGTTTGATCTGGTTTTAATTTCAGCACCCGATTGGTGCCTGGTTTTAGGATTCTTACTGCTGCCGGTTGAATCTCTGGGTTTGTGCTGGTTCAGGTGTGTGTGAAGCAAAGCGTGAAAACGAGCTGCCAAATGGCGGCGTTGGGCGGCTCAGGAGGAGGCAGGAGAGTTACCTCTCCGGCGAAGAACAGCTTTCCCTGCACATCCTCGGCCAGCACGTCGTAGGCCTCCCCGCTGCCGCCCGTCTTCACAAAGCTGTAGGACATCTGAGACCACCTGTCTTTGCTCCAGTGGGTCACAAAGTAGTTCACAGGGTCTGGGACGTCCTGTGGGAGGAAGAGGACCTTTAATCCACAAGCGGAGGGGAAATCCCATCCAAAATGAGGCGAGACAGGTTTATGTTACAGTTTGAGTTTTGTGTCCACGACAACTCAAAGTACCTTACATTTTAAAAGCAGACAATGAAGATAAAGAAAACAAATAAAAATAAGTTTAACCAAATAAAATAAATAGATTAAAGGCTAAAAAAAATTCAGCTGTAGTAACCCTGTTTCACCTCGTCAAGAAGACCGATTCAGATTTGAGGAGCATCAAACTGAAATGAAGCCTCTCCTGGTTTGGTTCTGACCTCTAAGAAATCAGGTGTGTTTTAAGCTGCATAGTTAATGGTTCTGATGCTGATAAATATGAGAGAAGTGGCCCAAAGAGCCGATGATCACAGGGAGGGCTGAGGGTGATCCCTCCACAGGGATGAATGGAGATACAAGCAGAGGTCGGGGCTGTGGGGCCAGGAAAGGGTTAATAACCCTTTAGTTTTCTACCCTTCCATCATCCATCGCTTATCTGTGGTCGGTTGGGGGGCAGCATCTTAAGCAGGGAGATGGTTCAACTGGGGAATGATACACTTGAGTTTAGATGTCTTAACTGAGTTTATGCAGCGTCCAATCAGATCTCCAACATGATAATAATGAGTCTGCATACCCCTCAGCATGTAGCTAGTTGCTCCCCTGGTAGTCTCAGCTGACCCTTGACCCTCTATGCTGTGGCCGACCGGACCCCTGACCGGTGCTCACCTGCTCGGGGAAAAGCTCCCTCAGGACCTTCAGGCACTCTCCCACCACCTCCTGGTCCTCCAGCTCGCAGACAGCAGGAACGGCGTCGCCAGAGATGACCGACATCAACACCGCCTGCTTCCCCTGTTGGACACAGTTACATCAGCCAGGGCCTCAAAGGGTCTGAGCTTGGTTTCAGGGATCGGATACCCAGAACCTCACAGGACTGGGTCCTACATTCTCCTCCCAGTCTAAACACACACATCTGGAGCAGATACTCAGACTCCCATGATGCCTCAGTGACCCTGAGGGGGAGGAGCCGACCCTCTGATCCAGAACCAGTCGGCTCCTCCTTGGTCATGGCTTTAAAAACACACCTGAGGGTCCAGGTCGTAGAAGACGCTGAACAGGCCTCGCTTTTCCGGTGCCGGCGGGATGTGACCAAAGTAGTCGGCTCCCTGGATCTTGGAGTCCCAGAACCGGGTCGGGAACTGCAGAGCGATCTGCGGGACGTTCGGACTGAGGTTTAGCTGCTGGGCACTGACAGCCTCTGGAGGCGGGCCGGCGGGGATGGGAGGTACCTTTTCGATGATGCCGGCTCCCAAGCTGTGGATGGCCTTCAGCTTCCTCTCAGGAAGGGGGGGGTGGAAATGGAGGAGGCCCCTCTGGAGCAGGGTCAGCGGGACGGTGACCAGAACCTGGAAGAGAAAGCAGCCCGATGAGGACTGGATCCATGAACAGAACCTGCCCTGAATCAAACGTATTTCTGTCCCCCATATCATCCTGTCCTGGTTTTGGTTCTGATTAACTTTTTCCCTAGTTCTGATGGAGGTTTCTTCTGGTTCTGATGGAGGTTTGTTCCTGGTTCTGGTCCTGATGGAGATCTCTTCCTGGTTCTGCTGGTGTCCTTGGTTATGAACGAGCTGGACCCATTTGGAATACCTGGATCCTGACGGCTTAACTGAACCGGATCAGAGGTGAAATCTTTTGTCATCTGCTGCTTTAGAGATCAACCTGAACCCAGAGCCTTTGGTCCTGTAACCCAGTGGGCCGGTTTCAGAGCCTTTACCTTCTGGGCCGTCCACTGCGACCCGTTTGATGAGGTCACTTTCACGAGGTCCCCCGAGTAATCCATCGTCTGGACCTGTCCTTTCCTAGAAGACAAAGTTTAGTGAGGAAGAAATCTGTGGACCAGCTGAGCCATCGACAGCTGTACATAAAAACCATCAGTTCAACCACAACGATGTCATCAAACTATGCTCCTGAAATGGACACATTTCCTTTTCCCTCCTCATTTGGATCCTGTCAGGTTCTAAATTTGAGGGAACCTAAAGAGACAACAGGATCATGTGACAGAAGACACTGTCTGGTTTATTTATGGAACAAAAACTGAGAGCAGACCCAAAGCAGCCAGTTTAGAAACTGGTTTCTGGTGGTCTCTCAGTCTCTGCGATGGCTGTGGAGGACTTTTGTCCCTCTCTGCTGCCTGTAGCTATTCAGCTCATGGAGGTTCCTGCACGGCGTACGGAACATGACAAAGGACAGCCACAGTACAATGAGAAACTAAACATTAAACTACGATGGATGTCTTAGGCACCAAAACTCAAAATGTTCAGTAAATATTCTGGAAAAATTCATTTTATTTCATCACAGAAAATATTACATGATTTTGTTAAATTTGGATTGTAAAAAAAATCAAATAAAATTGTATACAGTGTTAGAAAAGCCTGCTCGCATCCAACTACTAATAATGGATGATATCTGGTAAAACTGCATGAACATAGTCATAGTATTTTAAATGTATATCTCATAATGAATCGCAGTAAGATGAGTGTGATATAGCCAGTAAATGGCATTTGCCCATCATTATATTGGGCTAAATTTGTTGATGTTGTGGCTTCTCTGGAAAAACGGAAAATACTTTGGTCATAGTCAGACAAACACTTGCAGTTTGAGGTCTGGTGTGTGACAATGTTTTGTCAACTCTGCTTTAGATAATCCAGACAAAATTACGAAATTGTGGATTTGCTGAAGGGCTGTATCAAAACGATGCACTAACATGATATCCATGTGCTTTAGTAATGCTTCACCTTTATTATCAAACCTTTATTTTCATTAGAAACAACAGTATTACAATAATTCAATACTGTCGTTTACACTTTTAAGGTAGATCTAGTCAACATTTCAGTCAACATCAAACACACTGAATCGCAACTTTTTGTTTTATATTGCTAACTATTTTTAAATGGTTTTAAAATTATCAAAAACCGCATCTCATCAACCTAATCAGCTCCGTCTGGGCCGTGTGGGTCAGTGCGAGGGCTGTCTGACGTGTCTGCTGTTGCTGCTGAGCAGTTTGGGGTAGGCCGTCCCCAGCGAGCGGCCGTGCCTGACCACCACCAGCTCCATCTGACACTGGTCCACGTTGACCAGCACCGTGGTGCTCCTCTCCGTGTTCATGAGGAAGACCACGGTGAAGAGGGCCATCTCGAACTCCGGGCTGGTCCCGATGAAGGCGCTGCCCACCGGTTTCACCAGGCCGTGCCAGCTGAACTGCATGTTCAGAACGTGGTCGTCGTGGTCAGGCTGCGGACGCACGCACCAGATGGTTCATCAGAGAAGACACGTTAGAGCGGGACGGCAGGTGGCCGGCGGACCTACCAAGTCGTTTTCCCGGGCCTTGTAACCTTTGTAGTCCAGGTGCCTGTTCTTTTCCTGCAGGTAGAACTGGATCCAGTTGTGGAAGCCGATGATTTCCGTCCCGGATCTCATCTCGCCCACAAAGACGTGCTCGAACCCGCAGGAGTCCAGGCTGTCGCCACAAAGAAGATCCACGTGTTTAAAGTGGGACCGAGGAGGGGACGGAGCGAGCGGGTGCTCGGCCGGCTCACCCTGCGTTCCTCTGCCGGTGGTAGAGGTGGAACCAAATCAGGTTGAGCTGATTCTTGAACTGCCTCAAGTCGGCGCTGGACTGACCTTTGCTCACCAGATACTGATGAGCTCGCTGTGGGGATGGAATGTTCAGGATGTTCAGCAAAGAAAAAACACATGCTGACATAAGGAGGATTATCATCAAGACATTTATATTTACACCTCTTTAAATCTGTCCAGAAAACGTTGATTTACTTCAGATGGCGTAGAAACCTCGAAATCTATTGAAGATTCTACTGACATTTTCTCAGTGTTCAACAACCAAACTCCAGCAGATTGCAGGGGCCTCGTGGTGTCATGTTCCATAAGCAGAGCACTTCATTATCAAAACGCTGGCTCACTTGTGTTTTCTAGAGTTTTATGGAATAAAAAAAAAGGAGGCAGAGCCTTGAGCTATGTGCTGATTGGCCGGCAGTTTTGCCAACTTGCATATTTTCACGACGTATGACTCATTTTTATCAAGTTGCTGCAAACTTTGAAAGCCAGATAGCTCAGCAGGCTGTGCTGGTCCCCCCTGACGGGGGCCCCAGCCCCTCGCTGCAGCTCTGAAGCCTCTCGGCCCACATTTTTTATGAAGTACCTTTTAAGACCACCAGAAAAAAAATCATAGTTTCTGGTGACTATAGAACTATTTATAGTGACTGATAAACAATGCTCTGTCCCTGAATGTCATCCTGAAATGCTTGGAAATCTTGACCTCTCCATAATTACAGCACACACTGGCTATAAGATGAGCAGTTCTCATAGGAACGGCCTTCTTATGAAACAGTGTTAGAACATCTGTCCCAATATCGCCCACAGTCATCAACTCTAAACCAGATTGTCTTCCTAATATAAAAAGTACTGAATGTCCCCATATTCAAAGAAAAACAAAAATCCTTTTCTGGGAGACCGCGGAGGCCAGCACACATTCCACAGCTGTCCAGATGTTTCAGCTGTGCTGAATGTTTTCAGTTCCCTCAGAGAGGCAGGAAGAGCCTGAACTCCCTCTGGAGATCAGCTGCAGCCTCAAACCCCCCAAAAGTGGGTAAACAACAGAAAGGCAGGGACAAAACATCTGGAGCTTTTTCCTCTTTTTCTCCTTTACGAGAGGCTGAAAGCAAAAAGGAACTCAAGAATTACATCCCAGAGTTCCCAGATTCTTTAGTTTAGTCTGTTGGTTTCAACATTTCTTACACACCTTCATGACTTCCGTCTCCAAAACGGCATCCAGGAAGAGACTGACTTCTGCCAGCTCCTCTGGTGTGACCCGCTCCATCACCCCTGTGGACCGCTCATAGTTGTCCAGAAGTCCCATGAAGCCTACAGGACAAGACACCAGCACGGTCAGCGAGGGGCCTGCGCGTCCGGGCAGGGACGGGGAGCATCGGCTCACGGGAGAAGGTGGTGGCGTTCCTCAGTTTGACCTCGTCTACGCTGGAGAACAGAGGCTGTGAGGCGTGGTCCCGAACAACATGGCTGCCCTGGCTCACAAACCCAGCTCGGCCCTGGACCAACACAGAATGCACAGAATCTCTGCAACAGCGCAGAAAATCAGGCCGTCCGGGGGAGAAAAACCTCCCTCACCTGAACGGAGAGAGTGTAGTCCGTCCCAGGCTTCATGCGATTCGCATCCAACCTCCACAGCTCGTTGAAGAGATCGGACAATTCCTGGTTAACGGCTGGCCTGCTGAGGACAGGGTCAGGGCTGAGGACGCACAAAGAAACAACTCCACGGGTACCGAAAAGAGTACAGAAGAGGAGCGTGACGGCACTTTACCTGGATGCGTTCAGTCCACAGAGAAACACCGCGAGGAGGAGGAATCCCCAGATTCTGCATGTCAGACATGTTACAAACTGTGAATGTTTTTAGATGAATCCAAATAAACCATAGAAATCTGTTAGAGCTGAGACAGGAGAAGGGAGATTCATTCGCCTGAAACAAAAGCTCATACCTTGCTGCCATGATTGAGAAAGTCTCCAGCCCCTCTGCTAGGGCTTCTGCAGACTACAGAGCTGAAACACTGGTTTGGCTCCAAGTCTCCACCCAGAACTTAAATATCCTGATAATTCTGGGCATGAATTGCCATGTAACCACCAGAGGGGGCTTCGCCTCAGGATGTGGCTCATCCCGAATAGACTTGGATCCACTTCCACAGGGAGACACGTTGAATAGGTTTTAGTCAAACTTTTTAGTTTGTTGTGAGTCAAACATCTTTTCAAAGAGGTAGAATTAATTTTTTTTTTAAACCTTGCAGATTTATCTATGGATCACTGAAAGGTTTCTGTTGTGCTGGTTCATCGCTAATAGCTAAACAAAAACAACAAAAAAACATTTTAGGTGAGACATTCTGACCTGAGGAGGGACAGAGAATGGAGCAGCAACAGCACATTTAAAATCCAATTCATAAAGTCTTTTGTGTACTGAAATGAAAAATATTTCAAATATTGCTCAACTTATTTAATTGTTGAATGATTAAAGGAACAATGGATGGTATCAGCAAAGTCTAAAAATGCCATTTTTGGTCTGTTAAAGGTCCAACATGGTTCAGTGTCTGATATTCAGTCGTTCAATTATATCCTGAAATCTAGCACCTCCATTTAGGAGGTTACATTTGGATGGCCGCCGTTTTCCTCATCCAACGCATTTCCTCCTGGATCTACTTCCTGTCACTGTGCAGTGGAAGCCAAAGCAACACCCTCCCCAGCCATGAACATATGACATACACGTGGATTATGCTTTCACTATTTAGCAGTTTATTTGTGAATGTGAAGAAAAATCTTCTTCCATTATTTTGAGTTTTATTGATATTTGAAGGTTTAAAAAAAAGAAAAAGTTTGAGATGTGGTCAAGTTGAACAGTAGTCCCAATTTAAGAAAGCCTCCCATTATCTTACTTATAGGAGCGTCAAACAAATATTCACTCCTGAAAAAAAAAAAAAGCATCAGCCAACAATAAAAAAAAAAGAAGAAAAGCTTTATGATGAAAAGAAAACAAAAACGCAGGATTTCAATACCATGCTATATTTGTTAGGCTTTGTAGTGTGCGTACATGTGCAAATACAGGAGTACACGTGGGATGAAATTAATGACCATGACCATTTCATTAGCAAGGTTCAACTTTTGTAGAAAAACATAGCAGCTGTTTTGAGTTATTACTTTACAATAACTTTAAAAAGAAATAAAAATAAAAATTAAAAGACTGTCCCCGTCAGAAAGTTACTTCTGTGAAGTCCTCGTCTTTCTTCCGACGTCTCCACAGCCAGAAGGCGGTCTTGAAGACATATATTAAATCTATAATGGCCGATCTCTGGATGTCACTTCCCCGCCGGTTGACACTTCAGTTCTGTGAGAACCAGAAGAGCGCCTCTGTTTAGCAGAGCGGGAAACTTCCAGAAACCAGCTGGTAGGCAAACAGTGGTGTTGTCCCAAATGTTCCCTCCGGGGGCTGTGAAGGCTCTTTTGTTTTGTTTTTTAAGTACAAGACTGAGAAGACGATGCTGAAATACTCTCGGCTCGTTGATGCAACACAAAAAAAAAAAAAAAAAAAAGAGGAAATATGGGAGAGTGACGAGTGTTTGCAGAGGCGGGTGGAGAGGGCTGGCACAGAGTTTCGTTCACAGCAGGACTGGGTCTCATGCGTTGGAGTCTTCATCGGTCACACTGGGATTAGGTGAGTTTGAAGCCTCTTTAAAGAATTCGTCGTCTTTCAGCATGCTCTGGGGAAAGACGAGACAAAAAAAAAAGAAAAATGTTGACACTGTGTGAAAACGTCTTCTGATCAACGGAGGAGTTCTGGGTTTTTTATGCTCTTACTGTGAGGTTTTGAATGCCCTCAGAGAAAGCTCCGATCTGCCTCACTGTTCCCTCAGAGTCGTCCATCTGTGGGAAAGCACGCCTAACTTAGTCAAACGCGCCAAAGGACACAGGCCAGACAGATTTGCTGCACAGACATCATCGTTCCGATAATGTTTTTAGGGGGGGCTCACCTGATCCAGCCTGTCCAGGTCATCCTCGTAGATCTGGAGCTCGAAGCCCTTCTGGAAGCTTCGTCCCTTTGGCATCTCCACATCCATCGGACAGACGTACTCTTCGTTCTCATCCTGCTTTTTCTTCCTGCCAAAGGTGCCGAACGACAGCTTCTTTGGCTGAAGAGAGTGAGAACAGAAGACCAACAGGTGTCACCCCTCACTCACAGAGTCAAAACTGAGCCTGCCTGGGCTGGGCCGCTCTCAGCTGATGCTGTACCTTGACTTTAGTGGTGGCGGTCAGCAGAATGTAATCCGGGTTCTCCAGACACTCCTGTTTGAGGTGCTGGGCCTCTGAGCCGTTGAGCAGGCTGAAGTGTGTGGCCAGGTGGCGGCGCAGCAGCGTCTTGTTGGGGGGGATGTTGAGCAGCAGGGCCATGGTCTCCACGTTGAAACGCGGCTCCAGGACCTGGGCAGGAAGCGGGCGTGTTAGGAGTGGCTCTGTCCGAGCGGAGTGAAGCTTCGCAGGGACTCTGAGGGCCTCACCATCAGGCCTCCGTGGACGCCGCTGCCTCTGAGGTTGGGAGCGTATTCAGCCAGGTCCACCGAGCGGAGCCATTCCATCACCCTGTGGTTGGTCCACTGGGAGATCTCCGCCGGTGAGATATTGTTCTGCAGACAGAATGCACAGAAGATCATTCTAACCATTAACCTTAAGGTGAGGACGATCACAGAGTTTAGATCAGCTGAATGAAGAAGCATTGAGTGTAACCCCTTTCATTTTGAATTCTGCTCTTCAGAAAAACTCGTTAGCTGCAGAGGACGTTCAAACAAACGCACCTCGTCTGATGGTCTGCGCCGCAGACAGTTGGGCTCGTAGTTGTTGAGTCGCAGGACTTGAATGGCTCTCTTGATGCTGAGGTGGTGGAGGACACTTCCCACCTTCAGTGAGAGCAGGTCATCCTGATGGGGCAATAAGAGCATCAGCTGGGTGCTACTGCTAGAACCCCTACAGCTGTGACCAGGTTTAGCCCGGAACCACAACATGAACACAAATCTGCTGATGCAAAAACTTTATGACAAGAAGAGCACGGGCGGGCCAAATTCCTCTGAGTTCGTGAGAATTTAAAATGCAACAGTTCTGAAATGAAGTGCTTGTCAAATGTCTCACCACAGTCATGTAGTGCAGCATGCGCCCATCCACTCTGCCCTCATCAAACTGGGTCTTATACTGAGGCAGGCCGATGTCGTCAAGCCATCCTGAGAAGAACCGGAAAGCATGATGACAGTGCTATCTACAATGCTGTGTAAATCAGAGCTGGAGGAGCAGAGTGCTCACAGCCCGGCTCGTGTTCTGGACTGGCAGCTGGTACTCACGTGTGACCCAGTTGTAGTCCAGCTTTCCCTTGTTGTCCTCCTCCTCCGAGCCGAGGGCCTGCAGAGCCAGCTGCAGCTTCTTCCTGTGCAGCGGATGTTTGATGCCCAACTCCTAAACATCGTCAGAAACAAGAGAAGTAACACAGGGCCTCCCCCATACGCCGCAGAGGGAGACCTGTCTGTGCGTCCACTGAGACTCACCCTCTCCAGGTCTTGCTGTGAGGCCTGCAGCAGAGTCTGTCCTGAGGAGACCCACACTCGGGCCATGTTCACATACAGGCCCAGGCCCTGCTCCTGCAGCCAGTCACACACCTGCTCCTTTGACCAGCGTGCAAAGGGAGCATCCACGTCACTAAGAGGGAAAAGGAGGGGAAAGGCAGTCTGTAGTTAATGAAAGACATAAGATCGGCTGTGAAGTGAAGAAGAAAATCTGGAGGGATATGAGATTCCCCAATCAATTCGCACACTCACTTGTTGACTCGCTGGAAGTCACGAGACCAACCCAGTCTGGGTCCTGCTGTGGCGCGCACTCCTCCTCGCTTGAACTCCCCCTCTGACAGGTTGTCGTCCAGGTTAAAGGTGGTGGACTGGCTTCTTTTAAGCCTTGAAAACAGACATAAATCCCCTCACGTCTACACGTTGCTTCTGTCTCAGAGTAATACTTAAATCTTGCAGCATTTCCTCGAGCTGCGAGAGGCACTGATGGGAGCCTTTACTTACTTCCCAAAAAGCTTTTTTATTCCTTTGGATTTCTTCCTGCTCTCTGGTGTTGTGGCCAGCGTGTGTGTGCTGTCGCCGTTGGAGGACCTCTGCGGAAGTCCGGCCAGATCCAGATGGTCAGTGCCCTGCCGCTCAGTTTCAGCTGCACAAAACAAATGCCCACAAAACATTAGCCGAGTGGGACAGGCCAACGTGGGACAGGGGCCGCGCTGCTCCCCGGAAAGCACTCTGATAGAAACGGGGAGACGGGGGTAATGACAGGGGGCGTAAAAAGCGGTAGGTTCTCCAGCAGGCATGCATCAGACTAATCTGTTGCAAACTATAAAAAAAAAAAGAAAAAAAAGGTTTAAATCATTAGTCGTGTTTTAAACTGTAGGCGGGAGGTGCTTAAAACAGATGCTTTTCTCCACTAATCTACATCTACAAGCAGTTTTCTGTTGGTGCTAAAAGAGCACGCTAATACATGCAGAGACAGGCCAATCGACGCAGTGTGTGCACGGGCTGGATGCTGAGCAGGGGAGGACAGAATGTGAACAGTACAGCACTCAGGTGTGTAAATATGACTGTATGTAAACTAAGAAAGAAGTCGGCTTAATGCAGGAGATTAGAAAAGTGAGAGACGCATACAGGGACGTTGCGAGTAGTTTCCTTTGTTTTGGCAGGAAACTACCACAACCCTGATACAACATGATGTCTATACTGTACCCAACATAGGCGCACTCGCACTCCTGCTGCGGTCTTCATGTGTTACAAAGAGCACACAACACACGACACGGTCCCACAGAAAAAAACAAAACAAAACAAGACAAAAGGACAGAAATCATGATTGAAATGAGTGGATTGGGGAGGTGGAACAGAGATGTAAACCAACGGGACACAGACAGGACGAGGGGCATGTGGCACCATAGAAACAGACTTCCATAATTAAATGGGGACCACAGTATGTGTGGGCTGCAAATTATGGTCTTGGTCCATGTGGGATAATCCAAGGGTGTGGCTTTGAAAACTAAAATAAAAAAAAGTGTCCGTGGTGAAGACAAACCTGGAAGAAAATCTCACCGCTCTGCTTTTGCTCGCTTTAGGTCAGACTGACCGACATTACGTCAAATCTTGTGGTCTGTTCTTACCGAGGTTAGGGCTGCCTGTCGTCTTCTTGCCTCCGCGGATCTTGAAGAAGCCCTTTCCGAAAGATGAGCGGGCTTTCCTTGACCCAAAGCTGTCGTCTTCTGTGGTGGCTGGCAGAGTGGCAGAGGGACCTTTGGGCGGCTTTTCACTCGTCTTTCTGGTCTCCTCATTTGTGTCCTGAGAAAATAAACAGACCAAAGTCTATATTTAGAAATACTGACCTGGAGATAGAAAGTGTAATGAAAAGCTTTGGTGGGGCTAAAAGTAGACTTGTAAACATGGAAAAATAAATACCTTGTCGTTGTTGATCTCTTCTGGATGGTCCTGGCCCTCAGCTCTGCTGGGCTCTTCGCTGCTAAAATGACAAACCATTGGACACTTCAACCATTGGGTATGCACTCAGTTTGTTGTATGAAGTGACAGCTGCCAGGTCCAGCGCTGTTAAATCTGGTTGTGCACCACTTCTTTAAACTGTAATGCAGCAGTGAGCAGATTTGTTTTCCTCTTCCTAAACACTGTGCGGTCCAGCTTAAGTGCCGAGCCGTACTCTGCCACAAGTGGTCTCATTCGGCTGCACAATACAGTGCCTTATGTTCATGAACGGACACCATTGTGTTCATTTGGAATTAGCATGTGGCAGGAAGCTATTAAGCAAAAGACAAAAACACATTTAAGTCAAACTGGTGGCACTTCCCCACATGTACCATTGAAATGCACATTGGATATGTCCCAGTCGATATCACCACTTAGACCAACAGAGCCAGAATTCCAGGTGTTGTAATTACTCCTGAACTGGTGTGACCGAGTAGCGGAACAGAATATGTAACAAAGATTTGTTTTGTTTTTACCTTTCCACATCTGCACTTGTGACCTCGGACACTCGCTCTGGATCAGAGGGGCTGGGAGTAGGAGAAATCTCTTCACTTTGTCCACTCAGACTCTCCATCTGCGCAAAGACCAGAATGTGTTAAGACAGATATCACGTTTCCAAAAGTAGAAGCGTGCACCGCTTTAAAGCACCGACCTATATTCTGAAAACATGCTTCTTAAACTGATGGACAATCTTATTCAGTTAATTGGATGTCAGGCCTTTGACACTCATCTCTAAATTGCGAAAAGAAGTTCCTGTGAGTGCGTGTTACAAAGATCTTTAGAGTTTAATGAGATCCAAAAATGCTTAAGGCAGAAAAAGTAAGAGCACTCAGTAAAAAGAGAATTGGTTTTTAAACTTTCATTAGCCACAATGTTGTTCCCGGCATACTTTACCCTTCGAGCAAGCAATGGCTGCAGACAGATTACATGTCAGCGTATCTACCTCATCAGGGCTGCTCCTTTTCGGTTGTTCAGCGTCTGCAGCTTCTTGCTTTTCAGATTCCACTGCACCAGTTCCATCACCAAAACTCTCAACATGCTCAGTGTCTTTAGTTTTCTCTGAAGAGGACAGTCAACTCAAATGTCAGTCACAAAAATAAAAACAATTATTTTGATAATAAGCAGGCATTAAACATTAAATGTTTGGCTGAAAGGGTTACAAGCTGTTATTTGGAATTTACGCATTAAAAATGTTCTCTGGGAAAAAAAAGAAAAGCCCAGAACCATTCACACTACACCAAGTTTGTGTTGACAAATATTTTCAGGACCGAGTCACGTCAGCACACAATGTTGACATCATTTGGCTAATCTGCTCTGTCGAAGCCAAGACCAACCTTTCTTCCCTTGTACCGACATCACCATGTCCTGAACTTTCTTGTACCGCAGAAGCGACTGTTTCAGCTCCTCAATCTTACGATCCTACAGAGGGAAACACAAATGAGACCCACTTGAAAGGATGAAAGTTGAATCACCCGATTCAGTGGAGAGTGAATGTAATTTGGCTAAAATACCTTTTCTTCATTTGCTGCCATCAATGACTCAACTGCCTTTTTCATCCTTTGCACCTCCACATCTGAAGAGCACAGGACATCATGTCACAAGCTGAACTGTGAAACTTTTAGAGGGATCAAAAACTGGGATTTTGGAACAGGGAGATGATATTCCGTCCATACAGGCTGCAGCATTACAATCATTCCAGAGATGTCACAACTGACAAACAATACATTTGTGTGAGGAAGCATTCAACTTATTTACCCGAGAACATTTTCACTTTTCAGGACACACATTCCACCACAAGGCCATGTTAAAAGCTGCTTAACGACGCAGCCAATCTTTCAGATAAGCAATGCTCTCACTATGTAAACATTTTCCAAAAAGGGTAAAAAACAAAACAAAAAATGCTGTTAGACTCGTTTAAGGGCTGGATAACATGTCTTAAGAGTTAACTATTTGGAATCCAAATTTGTAAGCAAATCTGCCTTACAAAATAAAGGGAGTGTTTATTTTCAACAAACACAAATGTTTGGTTTCTATCTATGCTGAAAACATCCTTCACACATTCACAGTCAGGTAAGGACGCACAGGCCAAATCTCTGTGCCAAAAACAGCTACAAAAGCAGATTCCGTCAGGAGCTGAGTAACCTGGAGATCCATCAATCAATCAAAAAAGATTTGAGACACAGACAGGAGCTACTTAGCGATCGATCGCAGTGAGGGTGCTTTCGACCACCTGCTAATAGGGATTATACCTGACACAAGAAATCTTGGAGGTTACCAGCAGATGATTTACATAAAGCCTGGGAGGCTTATCAAGTAGTTCATTTGGTTTTAGATATCCAACAGTCCTTTCCGAGCAGATTTATGATTCAAAAGGCAAATCACACATTGTTCAATTAGACTGCGACTGTCTGAAGGGTGCGTTCAATAGAAACAATAAAATAGCTACGGGTGACTTTTTTTTTTTCCTAACGTGTGACATTTTCGAAACTTGATCAAATGAGACAACCGTATTACTGAGGAATGCGTGCACAGAAAAATCAAATTGTTCTACGCAGATTAATAAACTTTCCAACAAAATACAAGAAGAAGGCAGCTCTCACAACAAAGATACTGTCAAGACAACAACGAACACGACGACAGCTCGGGTTAGCGGGGCGCACACAGGCTGCTGGTGTGAGCAGGGGAAGGTTTAGGGGACTTAAACGTACACAGCATGTGATTACTGTAGGAGGACACGAGTGAGAAGATTTGAGTGAGCAGCCTGAATGGTTACAACAACGGTTCATTCCTCATTCCTGCTGAAAAAACATAAAGCAAACAGTTCTTGCTGCCATTTTAGGTTGTTTGTTAACAGACATGGAAATGGAGGCCTGACATCCACTCTAATGGAAAACACAAAAAAAGAGAGCTGAACGGTTTAACTGGGATGTGGTTCACTGGACAGCTAGTAGCACTTCAATGGGTTTTAATGGACAAGCAGAGTTCAGATGGCTCATGCTCGTTCATGCAAACGGGATGGGGTGGGTGCAACGATGAGGTGGAGATATAAACACAGGCATAAAAAAAACCCTTACGTTTTTCTTTCAGCCTCTTTCTAAGAGTTTCATCTGGATGAGAGACTAAACAGGACAGAAGACATTATGACACAGACACTGCTTAGAACTGAAGTGATTGTTATTCACCCAAAGATATCACACACTCATTTTACATAAATCAGACATCAGAACTCGAGGCATGTTCATTTCCAGCGGAGCGTGTGATTGGCTGGCCGTCCCACCTCTCTCTGTGGAATCTGGACTGCTCGTGCCGATGGCTCTGAAGCCTGTCTCATCCTGTAGTCTCCTCATCTCTCCATCTTTGCCCTCCAGCTGCCTCCTCAGTACGGCTAACTCCTCCTGCCCAACAGAGGAAAACAGTCAGCACATCTCCACATTGACCCCCCATCAGCACTACAAACAAACCACAACACAAAAGGTTCACAGACGCTGACGTGGCTTAGAGGCACGCAGGCCACACCTGCTGGAAGGCCAACGTGTTTTAGGTGGGGGGCATGCACGGGTGTCAGGGCCGAGGCAGGAAGAAATCCATTATCAGGGGGAAAAAAACTCAACAAAAACATGTTTTAGTAACCGGAACAGAAATCAAGTGCAGAATCAAAAACTGTTAAATGTAGATAGAGGGCAGGAAAAAAACAGACAAACTCAGGGACATGTGAAAAACGGGCAGAAAAAATAAAAAGGAAAAGAGAAATTTGCCAACTCTTGACAAAAGGCTACAATTACAGCATAGCTGTGGTTTGGAAAATGTGTGTTTGCGAAAAGTAGAGCCTGGCATATGCAGACTCACAGGAAGTATAATTTCTAATTGCCCTTAATAGTCTTATTGTATTGGACTCTTAAAAAAAAAAAGCAATATCACCATTTGGAAAAACTTAAAAAATAAAAAAAAGAATTCTCTTAGCAAAAAATAAATAAATAGAAAAAAAAACTTTAAATAAATTACTCGGTGGAACTATTCATGAATAAAAAAAAATAAAAACAAAACAAGGAGCCAAAGGGAGAGGTCAAAACCATAATCATACTGCAAGCACAACAATCATCTTGAGGAAAGCCAACCTTCATGGCCAGGAGTTTATGCTCTTTCCTCTGTTTCTCATACTGCATCTGGCCCATTTTGATTTTCAGGCTAGAAAGCTTGGCCATTAGCGACTAGCGACAGAGAGAAGAACCGAGGGAAAAAGACAGTAAAAATGGAAGAACATGTGAAGTCAAAAGACGTTAAGAGGCGATGGGGTGATGTCCCAAGTTGTCAGCACATTAGAAGTAACTCCAACTAATCATCTAACTTAAAGCCACATTAATCCTTGTTTCACAGTTTCTCCATCTTATAATTAGTAAGTTAGAGGAGCTTCTTCACTCTTCTTTCTGCTCTGTACTCACTCCTCGTGACTGCTAACAACCATGTGTAATGCACACATAACTTCATCTGCTGTTTTCAACATGTTGCAAAAAAAAAAAGTATTTTTCAAGGCCTTACTTCTGCATCACACTTCCTCTCATTTCCAGCTGTGAAAGCAAATTTTCAACAGAAAATCTCCTGCTGTGAAGCACATGTGGAAACAGCTAAATAAAAGAATTCGGACCAAATCAGCCCCACAGTCTCATGAAAAGCTCTGGTGTTCATATGTGAAAGACGCTTTACAAAAATTTACAGAGCTTATGGGGGAATGTGCAGGACTTCGATCATACCAGAAAGAGAGTGCATGGATATGATTTTAGAGGGAACAAAAGAAAACTCTGATAAACTGCTTGAGTTTTATATCAATAAACTTAAAACTGGGATGTTAGATTTTTTTTTTAAGTTTCCTAAAAACAACTGGAGCAACATCTCTTGTTTACACGTAAAAAAAAAAGCAGCAGAGTGCAAAGTGACAGCTCACCTTTGTGGATTTCAGCTTCTTCTCATACTGAAGCTTTTCACCCTCCAGGTCAGTCAGTCTGTACCGTAGCTCGTTTATTTCAAGAATCAAATCCTACAGAGCACAGAGTAACACATAAAAATAAATAAAACAACAAATATATAAAAACAATACACCTCCCTATGGCAGCTCTCACTTGAATGTGAAAAATCCTGTCTTTTAAGTCAGGATGGTTAAAAGTCCAAAGCCGTGCAAACAGACTTTCAACAAGAGAAGTTTAGGGGAATTATTTACAGTTTAGGCTCCAATAGATAAATTGAGCTCTGATTTATGAGCTGCGAGGCGGAAAATGGAAATCGGCTTTTTGTTCCAGTGGTGTGGAAGAGACGACCGCACTGCTGTAACAACAACATGACGTTTTTGAAAGGCTTCCAAGTACTCTGCATGCTTCGTCTGGGATTAGATATCTTCCCATCTCTCATAAACAACTTCCTAATCTTTTAAAAAGCCTTTGACCAGAAGGAAACAAAGCAAAACAAAGGTTAGAGAACTGAGTAAATCTGTCTGCACCATGATGTCGTCCATTTACTATCACACAAAGACAGCAGGCAGATCTCCAACGAAAGGTGCAGCTAATGCTACCATGAGGTGAAACTGAAAAGACCACAGCTTTGAAATCCACTATTAAAGTAATATGTCTGACAAAAAGGGTAAAGTTTGAATAAGAGTGTGTGCTGAGCTGTGGGCTGAGCTAGACTAAGAACAGGGGAACAATCCAAACCAAGGGAAGAAGCTCCAGTACCTCACTGTCCCTAAATCTGTCATCAAAGTCCAATCTTTCCTTCTCCATGGAGTTCAGCTTCAGCTTGAGGTTGGACACTTCGGACATCAGTTCGAGCTTCTGGTTCTCCAGAGCAGATCTGCACAAAAGCTCCTACAAGAGGAGACAAAGAATACTTCACTGTTCTGTTTAAAAAAGAAAAAGACAAAACTTTAGATTCGGCCAGTGAATCGTATAGCACTGTGATCCAAGAAAATGCTAAATCACGGAAAACCAGATAAGAACCATCAGAAAATCTATCTTCCAGGCTGAGAGGTAATCAAAGTAAAAATCTTTTTTTTTTTTTTTCAAATTTCAAGATTTCAAATCTTGATGGCTGTTATAACGAATCAATTCAAGTACTCTTGTTTAATTCAAGGACTCTTTACTGTCCCAGTCAAAGCAGAGAGGTCTTATGTAAAAGAAAGAATAGTGAAGAATACTGGCAGGGTAAAAGCTGTCACACCGAGAATGTGACTGCAGAAACACAGACAATGACCAGAAGATCCTCAAAAAGAAAGGTCAACAACAACTCAAATGCTCCAGTTGACAGTCTGTGCCCGTCACTCATGCGTTTGAAGCAGTTTAGTCATTGTATTTTAAGAATTGCACTCTGACCTAAGCTTATATGAAACACACACACACATACCTGTTGCAACATCTCCTCGGTGGCGTTCAGTTTTTCTCTGTGCTCTTCCAAACATAGGTCCAAATCTCGAATCTTCTCTCCTTGAGCCTCCACTTGGTCGGTCAGCACACTCACCTGTGTGGAATAAAATTCTTGGAATAATTGGAGGAATAATTCTTTTGTTTTGTATTTTTCAACTGCACATTTTTATGTCGATGCAACAACGAGAAATGAGTCATTGTGGCTCATGCGACTAAAGTTATCAGAGTACTGTTGGGTCAATACCTGAAGAACCAAAGACTCTTTATCACTCTCTAATCGAGAAAGCCTCTCCTGGTAGTGATCTCCTCCACTTAGAGAGATGTGGCCGTTGGACTGTCGGGAGAGGAGAAAGATGGATTAGACACAAAGCAGCAGAATAAAATATATCAGAACTTTTTGAGTGGTACAAGTCAGTTAATTAGCAATGCTGTAGGCTTTAAATAGTCTGTTAATGACCCTAAATCAGGGTTTTCCATATGCAAGTGATTCCAACAACACTGCTCTACCCTTCAAAAACAAAAGCCTTACATGGCTGAAAAGAAGGATCAGAATCAGTCTGCCTGACAGAGAGCAAGTTACGGCATTACACAAAAACTCTGCTTGGCCTGCAGCCCATCACTCGCACAAACACCACTCTGACTTCCAGAAGCTGGCAGATTTCTTCTTGCGCTCTGGCAGTGGAAGAAGCAGCGTTTCTTCGCACAGCCCTAGGAAACTCAGCAATGCAGGACAGCCATGTCTCTTAGAAAATCAATCAGCTGCATGCCTGCTCACAGCACTGTTGGGGAGTTTTTGTGGAGTTTTAGTGCCATATGCACATAAATCAGTGTCGAATCTCAAGCTTCTTTCTGTCAGTCACAGACAAGCTACTTCTAGAATTGCATCGCAAGTGCTTGCATCACCTTTAAAATACAAATCTCAAATGAAAAATAGGCCCCTTGAGCAGTGTAAAAAAACAAGAGCCATTCTATATTTCAAACCTTTTTTTGCAAGTATCAAGATAAACCGTGAATGTGAAACTGGTGTACCCTGAGGCTACACTTTTCTGATAACCAACACGAGGAGGCTAGTGTTGGCAACAAACCTCATATAAAGTTTTATGAGTTGATGTAATGAATGTGAATAGCCCTGTTATATGGGAGGATCTCAGAGTCTAATGTGTCCTTTCCAATTCAGGGTTTCTCACCAGATGACCATGGAGCCACTCCACCAGACTGTCTGCAGTGGAGTCGGGGATCTGGCAGCGGAGACTTTCCCTTTCCTCCGTGTCCATCAACTCCAGGACACCCCTCAGGTCTTCCAGTAGGTGAAGCGCCCGTAAGCTCCCCATGAACGGAGAGGTAGGGGACTGACAGTCGAACATACCGTTGGAGTAGTCCAAGGCCTTTGAACCTGAGGAGAAGAGAGAACAGGAGAAGAGTTACTAAGTAGAACTGCTGAGCCTAATGGCACACAGACATGGCAAAATGACACAGACATGAACACTCACACTCATAATTCACTGTGACATAACGAGACTGACCTTAATTTGGTCAACTTTAGTCTATCATGAGTTGTAAAAACTAACTAACTATGTTAGGTAAGCCTAGAATCAAAGCTCTAACAAACATAGACCTCCAGACATCACATGACCTTCTGAAATGTCAGCTGTGCAGCAAACCGTGATGAAATCCCAGAGGAATCAATGTTTACTCAACATGGCAGAGGGCTGTCAGTTTAATATCTTTGTAGTGCTTCCACCGAGCCAAAAGAGACATTAGCCACATGATTTCATCAAGTGGTTTATTTAGTTAATAATGAGACACCATTTTAATGACATGCTACCTGCAATTATACCATCCATCTGCTCCAGGGCAGCAGCCAACATGTCGCTGGCATCAGACATCATCTTCGGTCACTGATTGTGAACCTGTAACAGCAGAAATGTCTTTATATTAGTGTTTAGAAATATTTGTCCATATTCTGTAAAAAAAATCAAATAAAAAAGGATCACATGGTATAGTGTGAAATAAATTGCTCAAGTATTAAAACATTTTACGGAGTAAACAATGACCCCTTAATCAACAGAAATTACACTCAACGGACACGCATGGGGAAAGAATCCTTAATCATCTTAGCTTTGCCATCTGAGAGAATTCCTGCAGTTCTGCGTGGTCGAGGTGCGAGCATGCAGAGTGCAAGAGGAGAACAAACTCCGCAGAGCATTAACAGCTGTCTGGGAAAAGCAGAGCAGTAATCTTGCCATTGAGCATATCTCCCTTGAAATGTTGCCACCCAGGAATTAGGCTGCTCTCTGTAGTAAAAAAAAAAAAAAAAAAGGACTGGCTGGTAAAACGCCATGCCTTTGAGAAGCGTTTGAAAACAGATACATGATTAGCTGAAATGCCTGAAGGACAAATGATGCCTGCTCTGTTGAGCTTGACACTGGAGGGGCTGTATGCAGAGTAACACAAGTGAATAGCACAATTCACAATATCAATCAGGCCATTTACCTAAACTATTTCTGCACAGAACGTCCTACCAATGAGACACTGGAGACTTTATTTAGAGTGGGTTGGGGACGTATTTAGAGGCACAGTCTTGGACATTTGCCCAAACACCACAGCGGACCTTCAGTCTCTGAATGTTTAATCAAACAGCTTTGCTGTATTCTGATGCACGCTTAAACACGCATACAGAGAAAAATCCACCTCTTCCTTTAATCAGCTGCCTCAGATCCGGGGAGTGCCCAACACTGAGACACGCCACCGTTTCTGAGCTTTATGGAAACCCACCCACAGAGCCAGCTTTTTATTTTAGCTTTTCTGTGGTCACACTTTCCATCATGTGTAAAATAATCACACTAAAACACAACAGGCGGGTGAGAGAAGAGAAGCATACCGGCTGTAAACTGCCAAGTGGTTTAAAACAGCAAAAACCATAACGAAGGGTTAAATGTGTTTCCCAATTTACTTCCAGGGATACATGTGGGACATAGGCATTATAAAGCAGAAGAGAAAAACTTTAAAGCTGGCTAAGCTGCTTTTATTTCCAGAGTTTAGCCAAACCAAGACGAAATCCGCATCGACATACAGAGGCCAAATAATACTATTTACAACGATAACAAAAGATTATGGGGAAAGCCTACATTTTGGGCAGATAATCGAAAAAGATGAAGAATATCAGAGAATCTAAACTGTAATCGCTCACTATTCCTCAGCAAAACAATACCATAAATCCAGTATTTAGGAGCAGCTGAGCTAACACAGTGTGTTGTGTGATGAGTCAAACTGGAATAAGGGCCTGGGAGGCATTCGCAATGAAAACCTGTCTCAGGTTTTCTCTCACAGCTGAAGAACAAATACGGGTAAAGTTAACACATGACTCTCAGTAAACATGCTTCAAACACACCGGACCAGGTCCAGGCATGCCGCCTTCCAACCCGCCGCCCATGTGTCAGTCAGGGGGGCAACGTGTGCAAAGTACCTGTGGGAATATTTCCACCACTTCATCCAGGATTCAACATGGACCCACAGCTGAGAGGCCAGGATAGCTAATTACAGAGAAGAGAGCTCTGTCCTCTGGTCCCAGAAAGCTTGCGTAGTGCGTTAGTCATATGTAAACAACAGAGTTGTCTAGGAAAGAGACACGGCCACGTGACACGCCTTTAATCATTTTTGTTCTAGCCAAGAGGCTAATGAGCAACAAATCCTCAAATCGCAGCGGAAGTCAAATGTTTGACACAGTTATTTACAAAAAAAAGAAAAAAAAGACGAACTATTAAAAATTGCATAGTTTTCACAATATGCTTGCTTCAGTTTTTTACTTCTTGTCTAAAGCACGTTGAGGAGGAATTTTTACCTGAATTTGCATGCAAGTTTGCCCCTGTTTGCTATCACAAGAGAGATCTCAACAACTAAGCTCTGCTCCCAAAAACAATGTGTCACTGTCTGCCGTCCTATAGGCAGTACTCTCACCAACCATAAGACGCACAGAGAAGGCTATTGTTCGTCCTAGCAGGGTATTTTGACTAAGGGGCATGCACTGCTACAGTACACATGCTGCTTACAACAACACCTGCCAGCACACCCGCTTCAAGCACAAAGACCCTCAAAACTAAACCAAAAGGACAAAGAATGTGTTCAAAAGGCAGTCCTGCCCTTTGGTGAAACAGCCATGTAATTCGCAGAGACATCCAGAAGATAATGAACACAAGAGGGAGAGTGGACCATAATAATTGCTTTCAAATCCTTCAGCACTGGTCCCTTTAGGCAGAGAGAACCATTATAACCCACCCTCACTGGACAACCTAAGGGGAGCTCAAGTATTCCTGGTATGATAAAAAAAAAATCCCTTGTAAACTCAGCTTCTGCACAGGAAACAGAAAACAAAACAGAAGCCTCAGGGTCTCTTGTCTGTGGGAAGACAGGGTTTACAACCGCAGTGCAGCTGACTTTAACGGCATGTGTTGAGCCCGAGTTGCCATGGTGGTGAGGTCTTGGTAAGAGAGGAATTCACAAACCGGGCGTAAATCATTCAGCTTTTTCTATATTTATCCAGGTAACGTAATGATTTCCACGGACAGGATACAGCAGATCCATTCCTCTCCACATAAAGGCACTTTCTGTGCTTTGACTCATGCAGGCTATGGCTTGTTTTTTCCACCTTTGAGCATCAATTCTACAAGAAAAGCCTGGCTAACATGCCTCAGATGGTGAGCAGTCCCAAACAAACTGCCCCACTATCAGTGTTTTTGTTCTCATCGTGTCTGAGACTTATCCATGAACATGAAAAAAAAAAGCCACAGACATGGTTTAAGCATGGTGTCATTGGATTTTGACAGTGGCTGAAGGATGCAAGAAAGGTAGCAGTTCAGTAGAAAGGAGCTTTAGTGATTCACAGGATGACTGAAGGGCACTGCTCCAGGATAACCTGCGGCTATTTCCACAGTGGGTGAGCCCACAGAATACATCATTACTTATTTTATATCGCCAAAACGGTGGGGCCTGCCTGAAGAGACGATGAGTGTCAAATGGAGACGGCATTTTCTTTCTAGCTTTTAAAAAGTAATGGCATATGAAACTAATACGATCCTTTTTCAGGAACTCTTATGCCTGTGTGCACAAGATCCCAGCAGAGATCGCAGAAAAGTTGGACAGCAGTTCGCATTCCTTTCATTGTGCTCACAACCCGTTCCTTAATTTGGCCAAAAAGATATCAATCTTTGAGATTAAGGCAAGCATAGTGAAATGCAACACTTTGCCGTTGGCCTGTGGCACATATTCGGATACAGATGTCTTGTTGCATGCTTGAATATCCAGCATGGAAAGGACTTTTGAGACATTTTTTAACATTCCTCCAGAAATTCCCGGCATTTTTCTTCTCCTGTAATGTAGGAAGGAAGAAATTACAATGAGAGCTCCGGGAGTTTCCCAAAAACGTGGTGAGTTGGATTAAAAAAAAGAGAGCACAGCTAATGCAGTAGTTTGGTGTCCAGTTGTGAAGAGCAGGAGATGTCCAGAGCTTAAAGTCCAGCTCCCTCCTGGCACTGGTCAGTGGGAACATGTGGCGTTCGCTTTACGGGCAATTCCGTTGTTTTGGGAAGCTTTGGAAAATGAAGACCAAACAACTTTCGAGGTCGACTCGAGGGCAATAAAACAAACTGATCAGGTTTCACAGCAGGGGAAAAACTCTCCAGACAGTAAACTTTACAGTCTGGGTGACTCCGGCTTGAGGCAAACGACGTGCTTGGTATAATTTACTTTATCCAAAAGAGGTGTCCTCAGGCGGTGAGACAGGCTGTACACAAATCTGGAGAACTGGCAGCCGTAAACCAATATTTGTTTCGCACATTCATCGAAAACAACAAAACATTGGGGCTTTTCGCAGACAGAAAGCAAACAATCGATTAACCAGAGCGGCAACTGTTCGAAACATTTTTATTCAATTGTAATCGAAAACACGAACTAACGAAGCCGGTTAAATTGAAAAGGTGAAGCCGGTAAATAAAAACGTCACCTGAAGACCTAGAAACTCCTCGGACATGGCCAATAGACATTATAAAACAGCACAGCCGTTGGAAGTTGACACGTTTAAACAAACTCGTACTTTCACGGTCGCGAGCCAAAGCAGTTTGTCCTAAGTTTGCACTCAAATAAATCACGGCCTGCAAAAGAGTAGCACGCGGCAAAGTTTCTTACCGCAAGTCAACTAGAAGAAGAAGTTAGTTTTCCGTTGGTTTGTTTCCTCTACCATGTACTTTAGTCTCCACAGAGTGTAGTTTCTTAACTTATCAGCGCCCAACAGTACAACCCCCGCGTCCCTCCACATCGCTACGCCATGATGTAGATGTGACAAGTCAGTTGGAAAAGTCGGGACGTCATAGCTGGAAAATCCCGCCCTGCTCCGACTGGTATTGGCCCAGGAGCAGGAAACCTTTACAACAGGAATCCTGTTGCGTTCCATGTAGCATGGCAACATGGGAAACAGGACATTCCTATAAGAGAGAAGAACTTTGTCCGCGGTAAAGCTGCGCAAAAACTAAGTTTTTCCTGGAATTATCATAGATGATTTACATATATCACGTGGATTATTTTTCTTTAGAACAATTGTGCCTCATTACTGGTCTTTGCAACTTGTCTTACACATTTCCGATTTTCTTTTCTGGAACCCGAAGAAAGCATTTTCCTGAAAGTCTGAGAGGCCGTGATAAATCCACAATGGATCAACAGAAAAGAAGCACAAGCGACATCTAGTCGTGAGTGAGCGCAAATGAGTTTTTAATTGGAAAATATTCAATAATTTATTCACTTTCAAAACATACTCGAGAAAATTAAAAGCAAAATCAACAAATAACTTCACATCTCACATATCAGCAGAACATTTTAACAGTGCTGCATGTGAATCCTGAAGTTTTTAATATACTAACTGGTATTTCCCTCGTCTTTCTTCCAGATAATCGTACGGTTAGTCTCAACTGATGGCACATTTAAAGACAAAACGATCGGTGTGAATTGTCACCATTTCCTCGCATGATTGACTGTGAGATAAATATTGTGGAAGAAGTTAATTTCTATCAGAAATCAAGTTGCATGACATGGACGTACACAAGCAAAGTATCCAAAGTTGATGTGCACTTGTTAAGTATAGTAGGGGAGTTGAGTAAAGCAGTGACAGGGTAATAATATAGTTTTAGACCAAATGCATTCACTATGTAATACTGACATATGCCATTGGATTATTTACTCAAAACAACTATAAAAGCATGAATGCAAACTATCCCATAAACATAGGAATTATAATTGTTCAATTACTGCCCATGTTTGTTTTAACAAAGTAAAATAAAAACAGAAATTATGAGAATTACATCAGTTGACAAAACAAAGGTAATTTCAATAGAATAAAGAGGGAACAAAGAGAAAACCCCATATTTCATGTTGCGTAAGCTTCATAACATTATTAGCATTTTTTGTTCTAAAGCACCGACTTCAAAGTTATGTAACAGACTATTATGTCTACAGTTTTCAGTCCAATCTGGGTCTCCACACACAGGCTTCAATATCTCTACGGGCTGGTTATCCATGGGTCCCCAAAGCTGTGTCCCTCCTCAGGGGCCTCTCCACCTTCACAGTGCTGGGGTCACATTCCACAATCTCTCTGATCCAATCATCATCCAGAGCTCCCTCTATGAACTCCTCCAGACTGATGATGGCTACAAAAAAGAGCAGGAACAAGCAAGAATTACTGAAAGAAGATTCTGTCAATATCATTTGATCCGTTTCCCCCTTTCGTCGGTGTGTCTGAGGGGGCATTTACAAAATGTGGTTTCTTCTAAAGAAACTCAAGATAAAGATGAAAAGAAAACTCTCATTAGCTGTAAGTATGTGTCACAACTAAAATATTGTCATTCAGTCATGATCTTATTCCAACTGGTAAAATAAGTTGTGTTGTCCAACCATGACTGAAATATTTACTTTTGGTTTCTGTGTGTTCAACTTGTCTGAAATGAATTCCGACTAAATGAATTTCCACTGTGTTTTCAGGGAGAAAACCATCTCCTCACCATTGTTGTCTTTATCTAATCTCACAAATATCCTGTTGGTGCATTCTTCAGCTGTTAGTGTGTTGGGTTTGGTCAGAGCTGCCGCAAAGTTCATCTTATAAACGGCCTGCAAACACAAGGAAACGCCCACCCGTCAAAACCAAAAACATGACATCTCACTGAACAATAGCCCGAGCAAAGGTTCTGGTTTTGCTTTGTACAGCATTTGTGTGCGATAACACAGCAAAGCACACACACCTGCATGATCCCCAGCATTTCCTCTTTTGTAATGGCTCCGTCTCTGTCTTTGTCATAAAGTTTGAATGACCAGCTGAGTTTCTCCACTGCAGAGCCCTCAATGAGCATGCTGATGGCCATGACGTACTCTCTGAAGTCAACTACACCGTCCTGAGGAGAAGTGCCCTGTTTAACACACTTTTGTTGCAACTTTAACTTTACACAAGGTGTGCAACACATTTCAGGGACATTAGTGAGACAAAGAGCTTTGTAAATTAACAATCGACTATAGAAAACATACAAAAGCAATGTGCATATAGACATAATTTATTCCAATTAGGTATAAATGCAAACTTTTGAAGAGTAAAGAAAGAAAATATAATAACAAATAGAAAACAAAACAAAAAGGAACATTACAACACAGCCAGGACACAAAAAAAGTCAACAAATTAAATCAACTATGGATTTACTTTTTTTTTTTTTAAGAAGAATCTTTTAAACATTCATTTGGAGTCAGATCCATAGGAAAGGAGCAAGAAAACCTAAGCTTAACCTGATGTTTTAGCTTTAGAGATCCTGGTAACAGATTTGAATTAGGGGATGATATTTTTTTTCAAATTAGATGATGATTAAAAACTTTACTTGTTATGAAAATGATTTTCAATTAATTCAACAGGGAGTTGATAAAGGGGAACCCAAGTCAAGAGAAATGTATGCTCCTCTGGAAATACTGTTCCCAATGAGTTGTTTAAAAATTCCATTGAATAACACAGACCAGATTGAATGAAGGCCCAACTCAGTGTTTGGGCATCATTTTAGCCCAGCCTTTTATTTGGGAGAAATTTCATAAATGTACGAAGATCCATTTGATGTACAAAATAACTGACAAGTTGTGATAATAATTTTAAAAAAAATTCCAAGTTCCCTCTGTGTTGTACTGGCAGTCATGGTCCAGTATGTGTGGTGATATGACTGGATAGATAATCTTTGAGGTAATTCATCATATCATGATGGTAGAAACCATCCATTAATGCCTCTTGAGGAGAATCGTGGCCCTTATAGCTTCACATACAATCACTTACCCCGTTGTTGTCCAATGTACGGAAGATCTGTTCAGCATACTCAGCTGATTGACCGCCCGCAGTTCCATTACAGAAATGCCTCTGAAACTCATGAAGAGTGATCTGACCGCTTGGACACTCATTTATAAACTTTCTGCAAACAACAGGAACGAGAGTTTCTGGTGAAGTACAAAAAAAAAGAAGCTTTGAGGCAGCGTGGATCTGCAATGACTTTTAAAATGAGAATTAAGAGAATTAAGGTCAGCCCATGCTGACCTGTGGAGATGAGACATGTTGGAGAGCTTGTTTACACCCTGCGAGTTGAGTGCTCAGATAATTAGGCCGAATGATTTTGAATCAATTTACTGGGTCATCACAGAGTGAAGCTAATCAGCCGTGCGTTGTCATGGAAATAAAGGATTATGGGTTAGTGTCGATACAAGCGCTGCTACAGCCAAATACAAAGAGCAGCACACAGCTGAGTCAGCACGATCCGATTTCCAAAGTCAACCATGTTAACAATGACTAACAATGACATTGTTATTATTATTATACAAATGTAAATGAGTTGTAAGAAACTAAGAGGTTTCAAAGTTTAAAAGGTAACACAATTCAAGCTGCAGATTTGTCTTTTGGTTATGTCCGTAGAGCAGATGGAGGGCTGCAGTCCACCTGTGACAGCACATGGCCTGGAGCTGTTTGGCTGCCTTGTATGTGCTGCAATTCACAGATAGGTTCATTGATGGAATCAGGGTCCCTGAATTTACAATGAGTTAAAAAAATATATAAAATAAAAAGTGGCCTATCCAAACTAAAAATCAAGAAAAATTAAATCCTAAAAAGCCAACTGGTGTTTTTTTCCCATGAAAATCCAATTCAACACTCATAAAATCTATGCCGATTTTTACATAGCTGTGTCTCTACCTTACTGACTGAGATCTTGTGCCTGGATACACATACACTGTTGAATTACTTGTCAGTGGACGGGCAAAAGCAAAGTATTTTAGATCTTACCTGAACCATTCGTACAGCTCTGTGATGTAGGACTCTCCTTTCCTACATGGCAGGTGAGCAGCCTGGCCCATTCTGTAACGGAGCAGCAGCAGCTCCATGCTCACATCTGCCTTTATACACAGAACAAATCCCATCTTATGGCATCATTCCTAATTGAACCTCGTCACATTTGACAAATTACTTCGAAATAATCTCCTTAGAGAGAGGCGGGCAAGAAAGGAAAACTGCATCTACTCTTAGGCAAATGTAATTAATCCTAAAGCAGACTGCAAGACAGCAAAAAGAGGCGGCTGTTATTTTGGTTCACTCATAAAACACCACTTAATTTTTGTTTGAATGAATTCAACGATTTCCAAATATCGTACCCACAGTTTGGCAAGCAACAACACAACCACTTGGGGGGACTGTTCACTTGTACACTGGAGTGTTTCTTTTAGTGATCTGCAAGACTTTAAACAGCCTAAGTATAACCCACCCTATACAGCCACCTTTTCACACACACACACACTCCCAGAGTCCACCAATTCACTTCATTTTAGAATTTTATATACAACTACACCACAAAGTTTTCTGGTTTAAGAAAAAGAAGAAGAAGAAAAAAACAGCCAACTGTTTTATTTCAAATGGAGACAAAACCAAATATCTGCGACCTCTTGAAAAGGTCAATCACTCTGGCACCACCGAACAAGAAAAGGTGGGAGCAATATTTGTAGTTTTCTGAGGAATGACCGCCACAGTGGCGCAACAATGGAGGAAGAACAGAAACGACAAGTACATACAAAATAGATTCTGCCTTTAAAAAGGACCAGCCTGTGTCTATGGCACAGCTCCATAGCTCTGCATGTAGGTGAGTACCAAGCCTGAGACCTCAGCCCGTTCCATCTCTGAACAGGCATCAGCTTCATTCATGGCGAGCCAGGAATGCCACTGTGCGTCAAGTCAATCCAATGATGCAGTTCAGCCCTCCGATTGGCCAGGAGAAGCGTTGCGTGGGAGGCGGCCTCCTGGAGAAACACAGGTTCATTGTGTGTCCGAGCAGAAATGTCCAAAGGCACTTCGGACACAGGCAGGAGGGTCCTCGTGAGCTCAGCTGCCCCACCAACCGCCTCCTCACAATTAAAGCGTAACAGAAGAAACAGTAGTCTTCATGATTTACAACCTCTTCTCTCCTTGAAAGGAGAGTTCTAATTGACAAAATCCTTAACAGTCCTCCAGAAACAACCTACAACACCAGCACGAACTCTAAACTGTTACATGAAACATTGAAAGAGTGAGATGTTACTAACCACTGGTGTTAAATACAGACAACACAGCCTTTAAGAAAAAAAGGGGGGGGGGGGGGGGGTTAAAAAACAATTTTACAAAAACATACACATTTGGCCTTCCTTTCCACACTCTACCACAGTGTACAACATTTAAATTACACTGGTTACAGTCATCAGGATTTAAAACACACATCGAGGAATCGGTGTGCCAACAGGTCATTTTTCTGGGTCAGTCGATAGCTCCATACAGAACAGTCGCGTTTAAACTTTTAAAAGAGGGAAGGAACACAAAGTGCTTACAACTGAACCTGTGTGTATAAACATAAGGTCTATGTTCTATAATCTGGCATCAACAAGTCCAAAGTTTTCCAACTTTCTTTCAAATCCGCTTGACCAGACTTTGGCATGCTGAGGCGGCTCCATAAAGACCAAAAGCTTTGTGACTGTTTAACAGAGCGCTAACCAACAGGTCATTATTAGCATGGCTATCAATGCTTTCAGTTTTTAATAGGGAAAGCTGAAATGTGCAAGTCTTAACAAGGGCAGGTCAAAACTCTACATGAGGTAAATGGCAACAGGATCCATGAGGTTCAGGGACTCAACATCTTATCCAACAATGGAAGTAAAGATTCTTATAAAGTCGGGAGTCATGCACATGACCACTACCTAGAAGGAAAAATAAAATAGTAACATACCTTTGAATTTAGTTTATGGAATGATAGTTCTGCATAGCACAATCCCTTAACAAATGTATACATGATGACGATGTGTGTCTAAGAAGCTGTAAAACATGAACACGTCTTTTGAAAGACTATCAGTGCATAACAGTGTATTTTAAAAAAGGAACATAAAAAAAACAGCTAAAGCTATGGCTTATCTGCAAAGCGGACAGCGAGAAAGAACACAGGTGAATAGATGAACAAACGCACGAGTACACAGCATACCAATATACAGTATGTTGGTAGTATGTAAAACATTAAACTGGATAACTTCCTGAGTTATCTCTTCTACCGTCAGATTCAAGTCAGCTTTATACACGTCCTGTTAAAACGTCAGATGTGACGCAAGTCTGCCGTCATGAAATGCTACCAAACCTCATTTCAGCACCTCTAAAGTGCCAGTTTGCTTTAGTATGAAGTTGTAAGGTGTTGCTCACAAATCCGAGGAGTTGGTGAGTAGCTTAACCTCAAATCTATAAATGGAAAAAAAAAAACCTTACATCTGAAGCTGAAGTTCATAAAATCCTGGGCTTCATTTGCAAACTATCCCTTTAAGACACATATGGCCTGAATACATGGTGCCTGCAGTCACCCCAACTCCACACACATACAGTATGTTTAGGTCAGTGTACGAGCAGAGGTTACGAGACTGGTTTTCATGAAGAATGTTCAGATACTGACAAGAGAAACTCTCCGAGTGCCACGTCACAGTAGACTCTCAAAGTTAGAGGTGATGGAAGTGTGGTCTGCCGTGGATACCCACAGCCTGGATCCTGAGGGGTTACAGAGATGGGCCAGGTTGCTGGGCTGTCCTCCACATATTACACTTACTCATACCGTTTTTTTTTTTAAACCTTTTTTTTTTTTTTTTTTTTTTTTTTTTTTTTTTTTTTTTGCATTGTCACTCCCAACCTATATTCATATGTAGTTAGAAGACTAAACCATCGAGGCAGGAATCCCCCCCTTCCGATCGTTTGGATGTGTGGCTTCTTGGATCTTGTGAGGCCATCAGATTTGAGGAAAGAGAGGAGCAGTGCTTCAGGGCAGACAGACTGCTGTAAGGCTTCAAAGGCACGTCCTCCATCAGGGGAGGGAAAGCAGGTGTCCCTTAATGTTGTCAGTCCTGGTACTGTTACAGCAGCCATCCAAACATTACACAGCTTATGTTAAAAGGAGTATCTAATAAATTAAAGTCTTTAAAGAAGAATTAATGCTGCTTTGTGGAGCTCCTGCCACCCTCAAAGTGGTGGGAAAAGTCTTTCTCCGCGGCTGTCAAACAACTGAATGCAGATTCTATAAGGACCAATGCATCTCCTCAAAGTCAACCGCTTCTCCCAAGTTTGTGTCGGTTTCCAGGAGGCTCATGATCACGGCCATGGCTGCTTCATCATTGCTAAGACTACTGAGGCCTGGTCCAACTACACTGTCCAAGTCCAGCTGGGAATTTTCCCCTGGGGCAAAACATCAAGGAGAGGCAAGAACAAACAGTTACACATTTTAATTGAATAAGTTCATAATAAGTTCATATTGAGGTTTTTAAAAAATAAAGCTTATTAACAGGATCAGACTAGGTACCCATTAGAGATTCTCCTCCTGAGAAAGAAGCTCCTTGAGGCTCACTCTCTGAGCTGGACTTTCCTGCTACCTCCATGTCAGATGTCTCTCCGTTTGGCACCTTGAGGTCAAAATAGGAGCAAATAAGAGTAAAACAAGGAAAGAATTTACATCCGAAGACGGTGTAGATTAAAACAAACAAACAAAGAAGTATAGTTCTCAAACTAACTGGAACATTTGTCAGCAGAACAAACCTTGTGTTAAAACATAAATCTAATAGTATGAAACCGACTATGAGACTGACTGATTAGACTTTGATAAACCTCAAAGAACTACGTGGTCAGTTTTCTTCAACTATGTTGATATTTGGAAAAAAATGTATCAAAAGCACTATTTCTATGGAAATTGCACACGGCTCAGCACAGTGTCGCGTTTTTAATGCGGACTGGGCAACACAATCAGTGCTCTGGAGCGTAAACTGGGTGAGAAAGACTTACATTGTTGCTGATTTGATTGAGAGTTTGTGGAGATTTATCCTGTGGGAGACTGAAGGGGCTGACGTTCCCACTAGAGGGTGAGGAGTTCAACCTAAAAAAAAACAACAACAAGACAACTGACTGCATCAATCTGCATATACAAACAAGCTGACAAATGAAATGTGGCAACTGTGCCTGGAAAAACTACTGTAGTCACAAGGACTAAACAGAAAAAAGATAATTACTGACTTTGCTTGCTATATTGCCATACCTATTGAAATCCAGCAGCTCATTGGCAATCTGGGTTCCTATGCTTCCAGCAAAAATCATAGCTCCGGGTGTGGTGGAGATGCCTGGTATGATTGGAGGCGACTTCTTGCAACTTTCTAACAGAAAAAGGAAAGTTACAAATCTTACCAGGACACATAAACAAATAATGTATCGCTATCTCTAACTACATAAGATCTGCTCGGGCTTGTAATCTGGTGAATGGGTTCATCCATCTGCGTGAACAGCGATCAATCATTCTTCCATTCACTTTTTAAAACAGAAATCTAGGTGAGTCTTTGAGGTGACTTTCCAATTATAAAAAACAAAGTATAACAGCTCTAAAGGGGGACTTCTTTTAAAAAACTCTAGATGTGTGATGATATAACAGCATAGAAACTCAGAATGTTTCCTTTCTGACAGCTCACCTTCAGACGCCTTGGAATTAATGGACTGTTCAGACTTATTCCCCGTCCGTCCAGTTCGACTGTGATCATGCCTTATCAGGGAAGGAAACATCATTAAGGTGTGTCTACACAAACATGAGCATATGTACCGAACGAACAAATATCTCAGCAGATACTCACGATATGACTGTGTTAGTGGACACTATGTATTCTACTTCTTTGGTCCAGGGATTTACAAAACTAAACCACTGACTTTGCAGAGTGACAAAAGAGCCATGTTTTGTTTTGAACTTATAGCAGTTTGTTTCGATTTTTTCCTTACTCCGCAGCACTGTGAGAAAAACAACAAAAACCAAAAACAAGACTTTAGGGAAGCACAGAAAAATAAAACACTTAAAAAAAGTGTTGTGGATGTTGTCACCGTATTTCAATATTTCAACCAGTAGCAGATGAAACGAAAGAAATAATGGCCCCTGAAGTGTTTTCTCTGAGCCTCAACAATAGATAATTATCACAAACCATTAAGCACATAAATGGATCATCAGGACTGACTGTTAAAGGTTTTAATGTAGGTAATCAGAAAAAATATAAATGATTGGGGCCAATTAATAAACACATGTTTTACCTTTTCTATGGCTCTCTGCTAAATGTGGTAAGTCGTCTTGATGGAAGTACTCGTAGCATGAAGTCCCAAGCAACTCTTGAGGAAGATAACCAAGAATCGTTGTTGCTCTGTGGGGGATAAATAAACACATATATATATCTTATATATATACATTTATGTTTTGTGCAACTTATAAGCTTGTAATCCGAGCTTTTTCTTTGCTTTCTGTAAAAAAATAAATAAAAGTCTGTATAATTCTAAGATCTAAAACCCTTTGGAATTTGAATTCTTAATTATCATGACATATTTCCCAAAAACGTTGCCAACTGTCTCTGCATGGAGCGCCCCCCGCTACCCTGTAACTGAAGATCAAATCTACCTTTGATCAACAAAGGTGAATTTGCCATCCATGGCAAAGCGTGTGATGAACTCTGTGGGTTTAACTCGGACTTCTCCGTTAACCTGGGGAGATGAGTGGGAGTGGACGCGTCCCACTGCCACCAGGCAGCTGAAGTGGGAGCTATCCTGCTTGTCCACCTCCCCCTCCCCCTCTGCTCCCATATGACTGGTGGGCCAGCTGCGCATGTAGCCTGTACAATGGACTGTGCAGTACTTCTGGGACTCTGACCAAAAGAATAGACAGATCACATGCATTTCAGGTTATATGTACCTAACCAAACCAAAATAAAAAACGGTTTGCTCATTAAAATCCAAGGTGTTGACAGAGTGGCTGTGTAGTTTGCAGCACAGATGTATAAGCCCTACCTTTCTTTTTGGAGGTGTTGGGCTGTGACTCCTTCTGTTCGACTTTGACAGGTATTTTGTTGAACTTCATGCGGCAGAAGAAGGAGCGGCGTGCACCCGAACACAAGCGTGTTGCACCCACTGGAAGGTCAGCCTGGACCTGCAGACCAGCTGAAAACACAAAGAGCATTAAACACACTCGCACACCCCGACAGACACAGAGACCAAAATAAATGTTTTACTTTTAGCATCTATTAGTCGTTCACGAGGGTGCAGCTCAGAGGCCGACAGCTGCTCCTTCACTTTTCCCATGTCCTTGGGGTGTATGTAATCAAACAGGCTCTGTCCAATCAGCTCGGCCTGGAGAACAACAAACAGCTCATCAAGCAGACATAAACAAGGCTCATCAGTGGATAAAAATACCCGTTTTAACCATCTAGGCAAGTCTTGCTAACAAAAAATCTAACGAAATATATTAATTTGGGATTGCTGCCCTGGAGCACACCAGACGCTGTGTGAAGCAAAAACCATTCACCAGTTACATTCACGTATCAAAAAAGACAACAAAAACAAACAGTTTGACCATGTGTATCTACTGAAGTGACTAAAAAAATGCGGTTTAGTCAAACAGGAAATACGCATCGGTACATTAACATTAGCAGTCATGTGTGTACGACAGACAAAAAGGAAAACAGAAATGTGCTCTCAAAGCCGAACACACTCATGTAGTCATATTGACAGCCTACTGACATTAGTGGCAAAATAGTAAGCCATCTGGTGCGTCCAGGGTTTCCACATGAACAAGCACGCACCCGATTCTGTGACAAATGTAAAAATGTTACCCGACTATAATTTAATATCTTCGTGACGGACTCTGAGACAAAAACTATTTTCCCACGATCACAGCCCACTACAAACAGGAACCCATCCGCAGCCTGCACAACAAAGAAACATAAGGAAAACCAGTGTGATGACATGTTTACCACAAAAGCCCTCAGGGCATGGTCAAAACTGCATGTGTGCGAATATAAAGTGTATATCTGACTGTTTTATGTCCATTATTGTATAACTACAACTACACTGTGATATATCAGTAAAGACTGTAACTAAAATCAAACTTATATGCTTTTATAGAGATTACAATGTTAGAACATAATAATGGCAAAAAATAAAAAGTTTTGCTTGAAAATGCTGGTCTTTGCTTTTTGACCAATGATAAAATGAATATTAAACACAATAAGGATATTATCTATGCTATAAGGTTTAAGTATAGAATTCATAACAACATATTTCAGTGGATAGCTGATTTTTATGGTCTTTCATACTTACCTTGAGGACAAGGTGTTTAAGGTCTTCGTCAGGAAGGAAAGATGGCTTGTAGCTTGCTTCAGAGAAGGAGCTTGTTGAACCTGAAAATTCAGTCAACACTGGTCTCTGGGGCTCCAAAAACCCTTGGTCTCCATCACAGCTTCAATCTACAATTATACTGGTAATAACTCACTCGACTGATGTCTATAATAATCTGGTTTGAAGATTCATTATTACAAGAATAACCAGATTAAATAGTTGACTTTAATTATTTTAAAATGAAATCAAAGACAATGCCCAAGGCAGCAAAATGTCAGTACTACAGTGCTATAATCTTAACTCCTGCAACTCACTTACCGCATACATGGCATAAAAGCAAAAAACAACACAATTGTCATCTTTTGAAACAACGGGCTCGGTACCTTTGAGAGATTTGAGGTGCTGCACGGCCATTCTAAGCACAGTGAGTTTGTCCAGTTTACGGGACATGGGGTTACAGGTAGGGATCATGGCAGAAAGCTTGTCGATGAGATTGTTCATTTTATCTCGTCGCCTTTTTTCAATTTGGCTATGAGGTTCCCTGATGAGAGAGGAATAAAGAATCAAAGCTTGTTGAAAAGGGACACATTCAAAAACAGAGCTTGAATACTAGTATTTAAGGAGGGAGGACTATAGGAGAGGACCCATAATTCACGTTTTTCAATTTAAAGCGTGAAAAATGTGATCTACCTGAAACACTTCATTTTAACATGTTGGTCCTCTCCATCTGACCTATGGAGAGGAAAGAATCCACTCATAAAACCAAAGGAATGTTCAGAGACTGGTTTATTTTCACCTTAGTATCATGGAGATAAGTTGCTGTTCAAAACTACAAAGTAACCAGCCACTGAAGCAAAGAGTACCTGTTTGGGTCATCTTCCATTTCTGCATCATTCATAGAAGTGGATTTTGAGTCCCTAAGAAAAAAATGTAATCAGTATGAACTAGTTTACATTTCTCGTATCTGGGGTAGGGGTTTGAACAAGGCCAAATGAATGAAATCCCACTCACTGGTTGTCTGTGCTGCCCTTACGCTTCCTGGGCATCTCGATGCTCAAGGACATACCAGCCACTGAAGATGGAGTCATCAGGCCGGGCAGAGAGCTGCTTTGTTCTTCTTCAACCAGCACATCTTCTGAAAAATCCAATGTACAATGTACTTCAGCTGGTCATAAACGATCTCACATGTTTTGCATTTATGATTAGCGAGAGCATTCTTACACCAGAAGCGTAGCGGGTCATCAGACAGCATCTTTGTGCATATAACGGATGAATGCTGTTGAATTTCCACTGAGAGATTTGCCTCAAAAGGGAACCTCGTTTCAAAAAGAAAAACTCATAAATCTGCTCCTGGTCAAAAGCTACTACACATTAAGTAATCAAACAAGCGACAAAGCCTCTCAGAGGAATGCTGTTATATACAATTGCACAACTTCCATAGCTACTCTTCAGTGTAGGAAAGTGAAAATGTAGTTGGTCAACACAGCTGTTTTCCAACCTGCTCAACCACAACCTACAGGACACATGTGGAAAGGGCCTACGGCAAGATTCTGAACCCCTGGCTCCCTACGGGTGCATCCACCAGAGGGTAAATGACATGTACTGTAAAGTGCTTTAAAAAGTCAGTTCAACGGTAAAAGTTGAATTCTCATTGTTTCTTTTTAAAGGATTTTTTAACATCCTTCACACATGAAATATGGTGACGTTTTCTGGTCATTAAAACGTGGGTCAAATGGAAATAAACTGGTATTGCACTGAATGGAATTGCTTTAATCCAGAACAGACCAAAAGAACAAGTAGTAACAACAGAGTGGGCGATTTTCCTGAATGAATGTTAATCACCTGCTGTCAACCTGGCTGCAAGGGAAATGACCGAAACCTGGGGCAAGTCCTCTCTTTAGCTTAATCCACACTAAGGCTGTCACAAAAGGTCAGCTTGTCAGCTCTCACTGGATTGACCAACAAAAAGTAATACGAGGAAATCTAAGGAGCTCAACTCAGACCTGAGAAATAGGATGATGGATTTACGCCAGTCAGGAATGCGTCCTCTCACTGTGCTGTTTGAGCCACACCTGTGAGTTCTTCTCAACAGTCTAACTGCTCAGTATTTCTGGTTTCAAAAAGAGGGGAGAAAAACAAGAGCTGACATATTCGTATTTTTAAGCCAAACAATTGTTTTACGCAGCCTTTGATGCAAGTCACGATTATGAGGTACGACCAATGATCCAGTCAGTGGAAACCAAGAAAATAGGATGGCAGAGTTTTTTGGGATAGAATAATTGGTAAAGGTTTTAAAACCACTGATGAGGATCAATTTGTTCTACTGAGTTAATAACCCCCAGAGTTGGCAAAGCAGCTTAATAATAACATCAGGGCAAAACTAATTTGCATGGAAATGCAATAGAACTGCTGGAAAATTATCTTTTTTTTTTTTTTTAGAACTATGTTGAACTGATTTGTAGAATTAGGCTGCAACGCATCATCTTTCAGTTCGGAGTTTTTAGGGTGGGTCGGTGATTCCAGTGACAAAGCAAGCAACCCATGTGACCCTGAACAGGATGCTATAGGCAAAAGACAATGGGTGGCTGAGAGATCTGTCACCTGAGAGGTTGCAAATCATCATCAGTGACAATACGGCCCGACCCTGAAGCCAGAGTGGAATAGTTTCACCTCTGAACCCTGATGCAACATGAGTGCTGCACCAAAAAACCCACAACATGTAAACAATTGGCCGAAAAAAAAAGAAAACAATATTGGACAGCTTGTACAAAGCTAATCAACTATTTTTAAAAATGTAGGTTTAACTACCAAATGGTTTGAAAATCCAGCTTTCACTCTGTTGCTGTTTTTCCCTTCCTTCTCTTCTGAAGATTAGAACTTTAAGGTGTTTATTGAAGGTACGTTTTTTTTCCAGACAGCCTTTAGGTTTGAGAAGGCATTTTTAAACCATGTCTATTGTCTGAACGGATTAATAGAGATTACCAAACTCCGAATTGCTGACGGAGCCTTTCAGACACTTTCAGTAAGACACTGCTGCCCCGTGGTCCAACTCTCTCCATTTCAAACAGCCTGTTATCTATTCTGGGATGATTAGTCATGGCTGAAGTAGCTTAGCGGTGTGTCAAAAAGAGAAATACCACAACAGAAAGACAAACTAAGGGAAGAACAGGACAGATTCCAAACGTGAGATATACCCATGACATTTATTTTTGTCAGTTGTGGATCCTGTGACCCAAATAGCCCCTAACAGATCAGCCATGGCCTGACTTGACATCCTGCCAAGTTCTGGTAAACTACAGAAGGCAACTGGTAGACTGGACATATGGCCATATGTCCATCACTCTAAAAACTATGTCCCCCGCCCACCTCATTCAATTAAAACCTGAATGAGCATCTTGCACTTAAATAACAAGACAGAGACATGAAATGACAAAACACACACGTCAGTGATGAGAGGAGTTGTATGAACTAGGTCGTTTGCTACTTTGCATTCATTAAATAATCAGTACCACACACAAAGGTTCTGCCCACAAAATCCACATTCTTCCAACATTATTATCAGTTTACTTAAAAAATGCGACACTTGCCTTCAAACATTTTTCCGATTATGTGAACGAGAAGCATGCATCATAATTAAAGAAATGGCAGATAATGGGACGCATATAAATGCATTATTAACATATTTAAACTGCAATGCAATTTTGTACATGCAGGTATATAATACATGTATGCCCAAATGTATTAGTAAGAAACATTAGTAGTCTAACTTGCTACTGTAATGAGTGTTTGCATACAATGTTCTTCCATCTTAGGCAAGAACATACAAATTGTATACTCACTCCACACTCTGGAGGGAAAAAACAACATATAGCTGGCCATGTGAGAGGAATGGAGTTTGTAAATGAATCTGTGCCACCTTGAGTGATCGACCTTGAGCCTTATTTTTAGTTGTAGGGAAGGCAAATCTTATTGGAAACTGAAGCTGTTTGAAATGGAAAGGCCGGTCGGTGAGTATTTTAGGAATGTGTGGAATGAAAACGTTCTCTCCTTTGGCAGTGCCAGTTAATATTGTGTATTTTATTATATTTGGCATCAGTTTTTGTTGGTACACAGCCTGCTGCCATTGCACAATTCTGGTGTGTTTAGATTCTGCAGTAACGTGACTGCTGACCCAATTTTTAAATCTAGACCGTGTAGTGCAACTTGTTGCACGTCGTGGAAGTTGGTGTTGTACCTTGTCATCATTTCTCGGAACCAGTATTTCCCTTTTAAAATACCATGCAAGCCATCCATACTTGTTGGAAATGTTTGGGGAGATGTAGTTTAGCAAATGTATGACATGGCCAAAATCTGATGGGAAGGATATTAGGTTACACAAAGGGTGAGTTAGTTGCCTTCACCAAGTTAAAGGAGCTGTTAATTAAACTGGTGTGCAGTACCATCCCCAAGTAAACAAACTTGAATATATGTACTTGAAGATCATTGAAGCAGGCGATAAGTTTGGTTTGCACGTGTGGAACGTGGAATCACTGGTAAGGTTTGTCGGAAATCACCTGTCAAACGTACAATGTTTCCACCAGGTATGTCGCTGTTCACTCTCATATTTCTGAGGGTTCAATCAAGTGCCTGAAGTGCCCTAAAAATCATCACAAATCTTTTTCCACCTCATTCATACCCATCTTTAAGCCTAAGCACCAACAGCTCAGGGAGATTGGGGTGCAATTAAACTGTAAAACTTCTTGGTGATGACTCAAGTGACATCACCTTTAGGGATTTACAAAACTTCATACCAAGACTATCTTCAAAAAGACACACACATACATAAATCTCTCTCCTATATATATACATATATGTTATAAGTTATTCTAAACTGCCCGTCACTTTTAAACTACTATCTTGCCCTATTTTATTGCAAAGTGGTCATTTTGGGTGTATTTTGAATGTGTGCCACTGGTATTTCCACTTTTTGTACCAATTTTTAGCCTGCTATCTACTTCCACTCTGCAATCTCTGTTTTGCTAAGCAGCATTGTAAAAAAAAAAAAAAAAAAGTATTGACTTGCAGAAACAGAAATAAAATGAAAAACTAAGTTTAATACATGTGTTACTAAATCAGAATTAGTGTTTATTGTGTGGACTGGAGGCTAGGAGAAAGAGAAAAAAGAACATGGGTTTGACATACCATTAATAACTAAGTTTAAATGGCTGTATATCAATATCAAGATTCAACAATCATTGTTACAGGGTTTCTGTGTTGTGTTTAATCATACAAATGATATAAAAAATAGAATTATGCAGTGATTTTCAGAACCATCTAATTTACAAACTGCATAAGCGACTAGGATGTGTACATTTAGAAAATGTACACTCATGGTAATTGACATACAGTGGCAAAGAATTTCTAAATCTGTCATTTGAAGGCAAAATTATTTTTGACACTTGTTTCCTGCCTTTGTAAAAGATTATCGTTCTTAACTGAGGCACTGTTTCGCCTGGAAGAAACGCTTTGGACATGAGCCACCAGACTTATAACCCACAAAAAGGCTGCTTTTCTGTGCAGTTCTACTCGGAATAAGGCTTTTCTTTAAAAAGACTTCATTACAGTTTAAAAGACTGCAGAGTTTGGTGTACAGGGACTCGCCATGGCTAACTTACAGCTAACGTTTGGGGAGTTAACAGCTGGGCTTATTCAAGCGTTGGTCGGGCCGCCACAATGAGGCCCGAACAGCACCTTTTACCGCCAGCTATTTGAAGACAAAATCTCGTTAATAACCTGTAAATAACCAGAAACAAACGGTCGTGGTTTTAAAACCCTCAAACTAATTCTTCCCGAGGGATATTTCCCCGACAAACAGGCCTTACTGTCACCGCTAAGCTAGCATTCGTATGATTTGATCAAATAGAATAACATTAACGGGCTGTCAAATATAGTTAAATCATAAATAATGTGACTCCGAGTGCCGAGAAATACCAAACACGGGAGTATACGTTGCGACATTTTCCGCAGTTGACAAACAACGTCGTGCAATCTTACATAAATGTCGTAGCGTTAGAGGGCGAGCTTGCTCCACTGATCTACTGACCTAGTTTTGGAATAGCGCAAAGTTAAACCGACGAGAAACAGCGGATAAACAGCGCCGCACTTCCCCCCTCGTTTCTCCCACAAACGTCTACGCTTAACGGCCCCCGAACGTGTCTGACGGTGGGAACATTCAAGGTTTGTCCAACAACCGTTGAGTTTAATCACCTGCCGGTTCGCTTCCCGCTCTGTCACCGCCGCCAGCCGCTGAATTCCTCGCCGACATGGCTGGAGCCGGAGCCGGTGCGCTGGGGCCCAGGACTCCAATGCATGGAGGAGGTAGTGGACCACGACCAGAGACGGGACGGGCAGCGGGAGAGCCTTTAAATGCCTTGAAACGGTTTTTCAAAAAAAAAAAAAAATTAAAAATAAATAAATAAATAATCTACGGACAAAACAGGAAAGGGAAAGCAACAAAACGTGCACTGGTACCGGCGTGCGGGGCAATGAGGACAGTGTGAAGTGGGGGAAACGCGGAAGACGGAGGACAGTCTCCTCCTACCGGCGTACCAGAGTCACCGCCGCCGCCTGCCGGGGCTCCCGCTGCCCCGGGGCCGGTGGAAACCTCCGCTTTTAGGGTCGGACACTGCGAACCTACCACCTGACAGGTGTCAACAATGTTGCTGTCACTACCACAAAAGCAGTGCCAAAGTTCCGAGGTAGAAGAGATACATAAGATGAGAGAAATCTTTTCATCTATGATCTCAGCGTCTTTGTGTCCAATTTTGTAGAGTTCCAACAAACGTCTCAATCCGGATACTATTAGCCTAATTAAAGTAATGAAGAATATAAATTAATTACCATAGAATATTATAACCAAACATTTAATTTTCAGTAGCGTGGCTCTGGGTTTTTCTGAGAAACCTATAAAAATATAAAAAGTACTATTTACATAGTTAAAGCCAGTATTTGAGATAGTTTGAAAACATTTTCCTATGGCATGGTTACAAATATCAAAATCTTCATGTCCCTGAATTTTGGCATACAGAGGTCAGATAGAAACACACATCCATACCACATGGTTTAAATTCAATAAAGTACAATCCCAACAGGAACCCTTCTCAGGTGCTGCAGGTCATAAAAATGTCCAAAAGTAAACCTCTGTTTGTTGGGAGCAGCAACTGGTGAACAAAGGCCAGTCTGTAACGGTTAGTGCTGAATATACCTTCATCCTGTGGGAAGCAGCTGGAGCACTGCACGAGGGGGATAAAGGGATCAGAATAATCATTCTCTGAGATGAACCGAAAAAGGGATGAAAGTTGTTAAGACCAATTCTGGCTGCTTTCCAGCATGGTCGGAGCATTGTTTTCCAGTTTCCTTTTTGTATTTTGAGTGAAATGTCTAAACCAACAAATTACATGAAAGGTAAGTATGACTCGATGAAAAAAATAGTATTAAATAATATTGTCTTGTCTACATCATATTTATGTAGCTTCCTTTAAAATACAGATGTTGATTGACCTTTTTACAAATACTTTTGCGTTTGAATCTTAATTTAACAAAGAGATTCTATTTCAGATAGAAGTTGTATAAGTTATGAAGACATGCATCTCAGTCATGCAAATGACTCCTTACAGGTAAGAGACATCAGATAACAATGAGAAACAGTGCCACCAGTGTTTTGGGAGAATGAACAGCAAAGCAAAGACTTAGGTTTTTCATAAAAGGTTTCATTTTGATAAATCAAGTCAAACTTATTTGCACCTCATATTTTATGTGCAAAACAATTCAAAGTGCTTCATATGTAAAAATTTCACAGCGGGAAATGGAAGGAGCCTTTAGAAGACACGAAATAATATAAAGAGAAACAAAATAATAATATCATAGATAATAACTTAAATAGATTCGAATGATAAAATCAAGCAACAGTCCAGATAAGTTTAAGGATACTGAGCAGATTTAAGGCATAGACACTTGAGGAAATCATTTTCAACTGGATTTAGAAATGTCTACATTTGGTAAAAGACCCTGGTAATTGATCCCCACTCAGGCCTATGCCTCTGTGAACCATCTGGATGCACGTCTGTTTATGGAGCTCATGGTACAAAAAGTAAGAAGTCTATACTGTGTATAAACCATCCTTTTCTCAATATGTCTCAATATTTTAATAAAACTACTTTGAAAAATCATCCTTGGACATTTGCTGTATAAAAGGAGTCTACTTTTAGAGAGCTGACTCAGCACTCGGATGTGCTGTCAACTGCAGTCTTCAAGAGGTAAAACCACATTGTGCAGACCACTCAAAGGTTCTAATTTACGACCAAATAGCCACAAAACTGGGAACATATAAAGTTTTGAATGTTGTTTTCGTACAAATACAACCAGGACACATAGTGATGTGATTGTATTAAATGCTATGTGATGCAGATTGTTAATTTTAATCTAATAAAATGATCAAAATGATGTAACAATGCCCTTTTCCGTTTACAGAAAACAGCACATTAGTTGTCTTGATTGGGTTTTGTGTTAAATTTTGCCTAAAGTAACATATTATGATCAAATGTACCTTAAGAATTATAAGATTAAAAAAAAAACGATCTTAACACAACCGACGTGGTCCAAAGTCTAAGTAACTCAGTAAATAAAGTGGTATGTTAGCAAATGAGAGGCTCTCAAATCCATTCGCTAACCCAGCTGCGAATGCGAATTAAATTAACCAAGAAGGTTCGTTGCTAGGCAATGACGTCACAAGAGAACTGTCAACGCTGACGTTCCTAACGGCTGGAACGTCACTGTGTAGCAGTTACGTAGTTAATCCTCCCTTATTTTCTGGAAGAAGAGGACGTGTTTTGTGGCAAGACTCCAGATATTTACATTTCACCGAACGACTGGGATAACATTGTTGGAAATTTGAACAACAAATTGTAACCATGGCCGAAAGTATCGTCAAGGCATCTCTGGAAGACGAAGAAATACGAGACGAATCTCGTAGAATGTGTTTTCCATTGGAAGAGCAAACTGAGCAAATCCATCCTGTTGTGAGAATTGGCAACCAGATTAATGAGTTGGTGTGTGAAAAAAACAAAATAACCCAGTTAAAAGCACCCTCAAAATATTCAAAACAGAATAATATAGCTCAAGGGGGACCAAAAAAGAATAATTTAGATAGTAATAACTTTGCAGGTATCAGAAGTGCCCGGGAAAGTCTGAAGGCAAATTTGAATGATTATGTATCAGAAGTGCAAAAGGTTCGACAAACCAGCAACAGGTTGTATAGATACACAAATAAACATGGAACTATTTCTGACGAAACCTGTGCTGTTGATGTTGAGAAGAATGAGCACAGACATATTTTGTTCTTGGACACTAGATCTGACGACCATATTATGTTTGAAAAGCATACATTCAGAGCCCACAAGGAGACTCCAGCTCAAAACACAGAACTGATCTCAACATCAAAGATTGATCAGTGGGAACATAGACAGTACATGTTCTTGGACATAAAATCCAAAGACAACGTTTCACCAATACAAAGGCTGTCAAGAGTCCATATGGAAGAACAGGAGGAATATCGTAGGATGTGTTTGTCCGAGGTGAAAACATTTCACACAACCAAACCTCAAAGGATTTGTCATTGTGACAATCATGTAACTTATGAAGACACCAAATATGTTTATTACAAAAATATGCTAAATACATTGGACAAGCCCCAGAAACAGCATTCAAAGAAGAGACATCTGAATTCCAAGGTAGAAACAACAAAAAAGGATGAACATGGATTGAACAATAAGACTTTTGAGAGAAATGACAACTGTAAAGATATCATAGCAGAGATTAACACTTTGATGGTAACTCTGGATGATGTTCTTGTAAAAGTAGAAGAAATTAATCAAACCAACAAATTGGTGGAAACAACATCTACAAATGATAAAAGAATTGTAAAAGAAACATTTTCTGCTGAAAATGGGGAGCATAAACACAGACAATACATGCTTTTCGGGGGAGAGGTACGTGATGAATTTGAGCAGCAGAAGTTCCAATTCCAAATGGAAAGTATAATTTCAGGGTCAAGGAAAGAGGACATCTGTATTGCTGAGGATACACCACATGAAAAAGGGAAACAACTGAACTTGCACACTAATTCTGAAGATCTGATGTCATCTGAGGAGCAAAGAATAGATCCACTCATGGAATGTGCTGCTTCAGATTCAGAGAAAGAAACCACCTTTTATGACCAAGAGCAACATGAAATACAATTTAACATAGTTTTAGATGATAACCCTGAAAACAATTTTGAAGACCTGACTGTAACAGAACAAGGAAAAAACAATATCTTGGAAAATGTGGCTATAGATTTTGGCAATAATGAAAGCTTTGCAGCTCAAGCTGAGCAACAAATACATGATATTTTCTCATTTACCGAAACTCAGGACAGTGTTGAGTCCGAGCAAGTTTTTTCAGGCTTTGACTTTAAGTTTGAGGCTTCAAAAGCAAAACTAGAACATGACTTTAAGCAAGTTGACCAAACCCCAGACTTATTCATCAATATTAAAACAGAAGGCCCAACTGTACTAGAACAGCAGAGAGTGACTGACAACCTCATAAAAGATGCTGTTGGTGTAGAACCTGAGGCTGCAAATTCTGAGAAAGAGGAGAGCTTTAATACAGAGGTTGACCCAAATGAATATGAACATCATCTGCTCTGGGATGGTGAATCTGAGGATCTGACTGCATCTGAGAATGAGGCAATGAGTCCACTCTTGGAATGTGCTCCTCCAGAGTCAGAGAAAGAAGAGAGTGATGCTGGTGAAGATGAACACCACGAGCAAGGACCTGAAACAGTTTTACATATCAAATCTGAAGACCTGACTACAACAGATCAAGATGAAACTACTACCACCATGGAAATGATGACAACAGACAGAATGCAAGAGGAGGTCTCTGGTTCTGAATCAGACCAACATGACCAACAACCTGACTTGCTCTCAGACAGTCAAAGTCGGGACAGTGTTGAGTCTGAGCAACAGGGATCATGGTCTCTCTTGGAAATTGA